GTTTTTCTCAGAGTGATCATTTGCTAAACAGTAATCCGCAGTCCTAAACTAATAAATCAGACGACTGATCTCCACCAATCTGTAGGATATTTTTCACATCATTGAACTTTTCGGTTTCCGTCTTTTTGTCCTTAGCTTATCAATTTTAAATTTTTATTATTATAATTCGATAATTTATATATTTTAAAATATATAAATTATCGATGATGATAAATTCATCAGAAGTCATAAGCAAAGCACTTAAAAATTGATTTTTGATGGGCAAGTCATGCGTCTGAACTTAATTTTACCAGTTATGGCTTGACAATTCGAGCAGTGCTAATTAGTGAAAACAATAGAATGCAAATGAACTTTGAGTTGTATTCGTCTGATACATTTTTTAAAAATTTGATTTTTAATGGAATAAAAAACAGTAAATCTTTCAAATTAAGGCAGTAGTATTGGATTCCTGAAATCTCTGTAGAAGTGGACAAAATAATTAATACTAAGTTTTACGGAGAATTATAACATGAAGAATCATGTTTTACGTTTCATCACTTTTACTTTTTAGTGTGTGCTACGTTGACATTTTTAACACATGACTGACTGAATTCTTATACAGTTATTGGCAGTGTCTAATATTGATTCCGATAGGAAAGTGTTAAGTAATACTATGAATAAACACCATAATGTATAATAATCTCATTACTTTGAAGTTTTCGTGTTACATAAAACTATTCTCGAAAATGTATGTACAGTAATTGTTATATGAATACCGCACATCAAACACAAAAAGACAGTAAAATAATGCGTTGAAACAGTTATGTGGTCCAAACTCGATTTTAATCAGAATATGTCTATATTGCATCTAAGTGAAGTTTAAAAATTTAACTAAGTACCTGCTTCTGCTTTAGTTAGTATCAAGGTTGACGGTGATGGGGTTACAGAAAGGCATCATCCTTGAGAACATTGGACATTTAATGGTTCTTTTTGAGTACAAAGAATTAAACAGAAAGTGGCGTTCTGATGATTGAGTAAAAGAAATACTTGATATTAAATAAAACTGTACAGCATGTAGCTACGTGAATAAACTGCACAAATAATCTATGGATTCCAATCAACATACCAGGCCAAGACAGTTACATTGGTGACTATTCTACCAGCAGTTCACAATAAATCGATTTAATGATTTTATCGGACAAGTATAATGTAGAATCATTCTACAAAAAAGCAGGATTTATCGGTATTCTTTTGCTTTATATGTTTAATCATTCCTATGAAATCACTGACACCTAATGTGATGATTCGTGAATGTTCATACAGTCAAGCATTTAATGTATGCATGAATCAATGAATAATGCTTGTTTGATTAGTTATTTTCCAATTATTTAGGTAGGTACACTGATAGCCATATATATATATATATATTCATTTTGGTGGTTGACTGACAGTATATGGTGTTACTAAGTCATTCAAAAGACATAGGATTATGAGTGAACTGGTATTAAGACACGTTATTCTAACGTATTTGAATAGCCTAGCGACATGTTGTTTACTGTCAATCCTGATATGTGACAATGACTAATTGTACTTTCTGTCTGTCTGTTTTCGACATAGAACTTTGCACAAATGTGCGGCAGTTCAAGTCGCCACACTTCCTCCTTGTAGCACACAAAGCAAGAGAATAAAGCAGAAGAAATGCATAATAGAGACAGTAAACAGAAGTGTGAGACAAAGGAATATTAATAACGAAGAACAATATAGTTTCTTTGGAAATCATAAATCACAAGGAGTGGATGCATCTGCGCCATTGAGAACGATTTTGAGCCATATCACCAATTGTTTCCAGCCATCGGTTTTTACCGTCACGAGGACCCGACCGATAGCTGCTACCTTGACGTGGTGGTCGGGCTTGCACATCGCGATTACTCAACAAGCTACACTGGCTGGAACCAATATTCCTGCAGGTCCTACCATGCCAGGAAGGTTGTTAGTATAGCGATTAGACTAAAAGCAGTTACCGGTATAATGTAAGGATCTTTCTTACACTATGCTGGGGGTCTGTGGGCGAAGTCGTAGTCCTGGGAACAGGGATATAACAGCAGTAAGGTGTTTCCCTCAGATGACCAGCATGTCAGCTATGCTGTCTCTCCACTCTGGAGAAAGGGGGCTAGAAAAGGTCAACCTCAAAAATCGTACATCCCGACCGACGCACTCCCTTAATTCGCTAAGCCAAAAATAAAGCTGGTAAAATGGAAAGGTTGGACATGAGGCTAGCAACCCCATCCTGTAAAAATAAACACTGCTACAGAAACTTCAAGCCACTAGCTTGAAGCCCTATGTTCCACTGGGAACGTAAAGGTATAAAAAAATACTACTACTTACTCTTTTATAATATCAGCTGCATTTGTATTGTCTAAATGAATCTCGTGCGTTTGTATATTCACTGTGGAATTCAATCTGCATGTCACATAATTTAGAAGAAACTACATTTCAAAAACATACTGCTTACATCTGTCGGCCAGTGAATGAACTTTCGCCATATTTACTGTTGACTCTGAATGTGCAACTTGACGATGTAAATTATTTAATTCTACTTTATCATCATCAACTAATCCAATTAAGCCTACAACAAATAAAGAAAGTTCTGACATTATGGTGGGGATAAGTCCAAATAAAATGCAGTAGTGACAGCCAAAAAAATTTGACTATGTGTAATATAAAAAGTTACAGGTCTTTGTCTGCACTGTCATATTAGATACATACATAATGAATACACCTCTCCATTCTACATCACAATTCGCTCGACAAGTAAAACTGTGACATGAATCCGACTTTGCAATATATATACGGATAGAATAAACAAAACAGTGCAGTTTGTAAATTAACTCACCAACTCCAGCAGCAGCAAGATAAACTGCAGCTGGGCAACCGAGTCCACCACATCCAACAATGAGTACACGTCCAGAACGGAGTTTCAGCTGACCTAAGTTTTTAAAAATGATAAATTGTAATAGGATTTGACAGAACATATGATAAGATTATTTTCTTATTACTTAGGGTGAAAATTTATAGCTTTTTACAATTCAGGATACATTTGCCGATAAATATTGTTATAATCCCAAACATAAACTTGGGATAAACTTAGATACCATACATAATAGCACGACGACAAAGCATAAAAATGTGAATTAAGGTTGTACAATGAAAAAATTACCGAACAAGCAAATAAAAGACAGGAAAGGATAGATCGAAGTACAACTGTAAATGCAGGTGTAAATTGTTCGACATTTTCTGAGTTTTAGATTAAATATCAAAGCTCACAGAACAACAGTTCCCATCTTTATTGGTGGGCTTATCCTTATGCTTATCATGAGTCATAAATCTTTTCTGTTTTTAAACAGAACAACACCAGTTCAGTCTGCGGTGATCCTGTAAACTGCACATGAGAAAAAACATAAATATAAGCATGCTATGGTGTGAAATCTGAATAAGAATATACTTCAAAAGAATTATTTAATTCTCCTGTATTCCTTTCTAGTTGTACCTCTGGTACTCAATCCATGCAGATAACTTTCTGAGCTATTAAACTAAATGACAAACGGAATCCTCCAAACCTGGACTGGGCCAATAGAAGTGATAGGATAGCAATTATGACAAATACTCGAAAATAGGCTATCAACTTAGAAACCCTCCAATTCTGTTCTACAACAGTCCATGTGATCAATTTATCATTATTTTTGGGTATATGGGTTTGAATGTTTCCAAGTTAGACCACAAAATTACGTCAGTTAGAGAACCAGTGAAAACCAAAGAGTGCTGGACAGCTGTTCTGTCCCCGTTTGAGATTCTTCATCACTACTGAGTCGTGTTATCACCTTTCACACAATAAGTGGAGCTCATAATCTGGCAAAGAACGGACCTGTCCCCGATAAATGAGTTCAAATAACGAAATGTGGAACAAAAATTTCGTTTTGATAGAGAAAGACCAGATTTGCAGTATAAAATGATATCATTCTATTTCACAGGTTCTCATCAGCTGCAAACTACCTGAAATTACAATGGTTATAAATAATAACATTTCATACTTCATTGTTTGAAAGGTAATAGAGAAGACATTATAAGGTGAACGCATCTGGAATATAAGTATTATAATCTAAGTCACCATCAATTTATATACTGTCAAACTATGAAAAAAGAAAAAAGGGGTGGTGAGGGAAGACAGAAAAATCTAATAAACAATGTCAATATGGCAACTCAAGAAGGTCAGAGTTCATCAATTTGAAAACTTGCTTAGTGAGCTGAGCTCACTAGTGTGTATTACTGATCAGTGTAATGAAAGTGATATGGTTACCAAGGGAGTGAGAGATTGACCACACTCTCTTTCTGTATGCATAAGTTTGGTCTGTGACGTTTGATTGCAATTGCTTCAGCAAATCGTAGTAGATTCGCTGCCTTTTGTATGTTTAATATTTTGAAGGATTTGGAAATCTCGACAAAATGACCCGTATCCACAAAGTGCCTGGTAATTGCACTTTGTAAATATCTGCTTCCTTTTAGGCATAAGTTTCTTGGAATATGCTCTGAAAACCGGATAGTAGCCCTTCTTTCACAGACCAAACCTATGCATACAGAAAGAGAGTGTGGTCAATCTCTCACTCCCTTGGTAACCATATCACTTTCATTACACTGATCAGTAACACACACTAGTGAGCTCAGCTCACTAAGCAAGTTTTCAAATTGATGAACTCTGACCTTCTTGAGTTGCCATATTGACATTGTTTATTAGATTTTTCTGTCTTCTCTCACCACCCCTTTTTTCTTTTTTCATAGTTTGACAGTATATAAATTGATGGTGACTTAGATTATATTACTTATATTCCAGATGCGTTCACCTTATAATGTCTTCTCTATTACCTTTCAAACAATGAAGTACGAAATGTTATTATTTATAACCATTGTAATTTCAGGTAGTTTGCAGCTGATGAGAACCTGTGAAATAGAATGATATCATTTTATACTGCAAATCTGGTCTTTCTCTATCAAAACGAAATTTTTGTTCCACATTTCGTTATTTGAACTCATTTATCGGGGACAGGTCCGTTCTTTGCCAGATTATGAGCTCCACTTATTGTGTGAAAGGTGATAACACGACTCAGTAGTGATGAAGAATCTCAAACGGGGACAGAACAGCTGTCCAGCACTCTTTGGTTTTCACTGGTTCTCTAACTGACGTAATTTTGTGGTCTAACTTGGAAACATTCAAACCCATATACCCAAAAATAATGATAAATTGATCACATGGACTGTTGTAGAACAGAATTGGAGGGTTTCTAAGTTGATAGCCTATTTTCGAGTATTTGTCATAATTGCTATCCTATCACTTCTATTGGCCCAGTCCAGGTTTGGAGGATTCCGTTTGTCATTTAGTTTAATAGCTCAGAAAGTTATCTGCATGGATTGAGTACCAGAGGTACAACTAGAAAGGAATACAGGAGAATTAAATAATTCTTTTGAAGTATATTCTTATTCAGATTTCACACCATAGCATGCTTATATTTATGTTTTTTCTCATGTGCAGTTTACAGGATCACCGCAGACTGAACTGGTGTTGTTCTGTTTAAAAACAGAAAAGATTTATGACTCATGATAAGCATAAGGATAAGCCCACCAATAAAGATGGGAACTGTTGTTCTGTGAGCTTTGATATTTAATCTAAAACTCAGAAAATGTCGAACAATTTACACCTGCATTTACAGTTGTACTTCGATCTATCCTTTCCTGTCTTTTATTTGCTTGTTCGGTAATTTTTTCATTGTACAACCTTAATTCACATTTTTATGCTTTGTCGTCGTGCTATTATGTATGGTATCTAAGTTTATCCCAAGTTTATGTTTGGGATTATAACAATATTTATCGGCAAATGTATCCTGAATTGTAAAAAGCTATAAATTTTCACCCTAAGTAATAAGAAAATAATCTTATCATATGTTCTGTCAAATCCTATTACAATTTATCATTTTTAAAAACTTAGGTCAGCTGAAACTCCGTTCTGGACGTGTACTCATTGTTGGATGTGGTGGACTCGGTTGCCCAGCTGCAGTTTATCTTGCTGCTGCTGGAGTTGGTGAGTTAATTTACAAACTGCACTGTTTTGTTTATTCTATCCGTATATATATTGCAAAGTCGGATTCATGTCACAGTTTTACTTGTCGAGCGAATTGTGATGTAGAATGGAGAGGTGTATTCATTATGTATGTATCTAATATGACAGTGCAGACAAAGACCTGTAACTTTTTATATTACACATAGTCAAATTTTTTTGGCTGTCACTACTGCATTTTATTTGGACTTATCCCCACCATAATGTCAGAACTTTCTTTATTTGTTGTAGGCTTAATTGGATTAGTTGATGATGATAAAGTAGAATTAAATAATTTACATCGTCAAGTTGCACATTCAGAGTCAACAGTAAATATGGCGAAAGTTCATTCACTGGCCGACAGATGTAAGCAGTATGTTTTTGAAATGTAGTTTCTTCTAAATTATGTGACATGCAGATTGAATTCCACAGTGAATATACAAACGCACGAGATTCATTTAGACAATACAAATGCAGCTGATATTATAAAAGAGTAAGTAGTAGTATTTTTTTATACCTTTACGTTCCCAGTGGAACATAGGGCTTCAAGCTAGTGGCTTGAAGTTTCTGTAGCAGTGTTTATTTTTACAGGATGGGGTTGCTAGCCTCATGTCCAACCTTTCCATTTTACCAGCTTTATTTTTGGCTTAGCGAATTAAGGGAGTGCGTCGGTCGGGATGTACGATTTTTGAGGTTGACCTTTTCTAGCCCCCTTTCTCCAGAGTGGAGAGACAGCATAGCTGACATGCTGGTCATCTGAGGGAAACACCTTACTGCTGTTATATCCCTGTTCCCCAGGACTACGACTTCGCCCACAGACCCCCAGCATAGTGTAAGAAAGATCCTTACATTATACCGGTAACTGCTTTTAGTCTAATCGCTATACTAACAACCTTCCTGGCATGGTAGGACCTGCAGGAATATTGGTTCCAGCCAGTGTAGCTTGTTGAGTAATCGCGATGTGCAAGCCCGACCACCACGTCAAGGTAGCAGCTATCGGTCGGGTCCTCGTGACGGTAAAAACCGATGGCTGGAAACAATTGGTGATATGGCTCAAAATCGTTCTCAATGGCGCAGATGCATCCACTCCTTGTGATTTATGATTTCCAAAGAAACTATATTGTTCTTCGTTATTAATATTCCTTTGTCTCACACTTCTGTTTACTGTCTCTATTATGCATTTCTTCTGCTTTATTCTCTTGCTTTGTGTGCTACAAGGAGGAAGTGTGGCGACTTGAACTGCCGCACATTTGTGCAAAGTTCTATGTCGAAAACAGACAGACAGAAAGTACAATTAGTCATTGTCACATATCAGGATTGACAGTAAACAACATGTCGCTAGGCTATTCAAATACGTTAGAATAACGTGTCTTAATACCAGTTCACTCATAATCCTATGTCTTTTGAATGACTTAGTAACACCATATACTGTCAGTCAACCACCAAAATGAATATATATATATATATATGGCTATCAGTGTACCTACCTAAATAATTGGAAAATAACTAATCAAACAAGCATTATTCATTGATTCATGCATACATTAAATGCTTGACTGTATGAACATTCACGAATCATCACATTAGGTGTCAGTGATTTCATAGGAATGATTAAACATATAAAGCAAAAGAATACCGATAAATCCTGCTTTTTTGTAGAATGATTCTACATTATACTTGTCCGATAAAATCATTAAATCGATTTATTGTGAACTGCTGGTAGAATAGTCACCAATGTAACTGTCTTGGCCTGGTATGTTGATTGGAATCCATAGATTATTTGTGCAGTTTATTCACGTAGCTACATGCTGTACAGTTTTATTTAATATCAAGTATTTCTTTTACTCAATCATCAGAACGCCACTTTCTGTTTAATTCTTTGTACTCAAAAAGAACCATTAAATGTCCAATGTTCTCAAGGATGATGCCTTTCTGTAACCCCATCACCGTCAACCTTGATACTAACTAAAGCAGAAGCAGGTACTTAGTTAAATTTTTAAACTTCACTTAGATGCAATATAGACATATTCTGATTAAAATCGAGTTTGGACCACATAACTGTTTCAACGCATTATTTTACTGTCTTTTTGTGTTTGATGTGCGGTATTCATATAACAATTACTGTACATACATTTTCGAGAATAGTTTTATGTAACACGAAAACTTCAAAGTAATGAGATTATTATACATTATGGTGTTTATTCATAGTATTACTTAACACTTTCCTATCGGAATCAATATTAGACACTGCCAATAACTGTATAAGAATTCAGTCAGTCATGTGTTAAAAATGTCAACGTAGCACACACTAAAAAGTAAAAGTGATGAAACGTAAAACATGATTCTTCATGTTATAATTCTCCGTAAAACTTAGTATTAATTATTTTGTCCACTTCTACAGAGATTTCAGGAATCCAATACTACTGCCTTAATTTGAAAGATTTACTGTTTTTTATTCCATTAAAAATCAAATTTTTAAAAAATGTATCAGACGAATACAACTCAAAGTTCATTTGCATTCTATTGTTTTCACTAATTAGCACTGCTCGAATTGTCAAGCCATAACTGGTAAAATTAAGTTCAGACGCATGACTTGCCCATCAAAAATCAATTTTTAAGTGCTTTGCTTATGACTTCTGATGAATTTATCATCATCGATAATTTATATATTTTAAAATATATAAATTATCGAATTATAATAATAAAAATTTAAAATTGATAAGCTAAGGACAAAAAAGACGGAAACCGAAAAGTTCAATGATGTGAAAAATATCCTACAGATTGGTGGAGATCAGTCGTCTGATTTATATAGTTTAGGACTGCGGATTACTGTTTAGCAAATGATCACTCTGAGAAAAACCTGGAATTTTCACCGATCTCCGTATGATCAGACTATCACTTGAATGGGAACATTTGCCCACCTAGTGAATTAGGCTTTCCACTTTGTAAGAAAGACTTCAACTATCAACTATTTGTTCCACTAAGCTATTTTTTGCTGATCTGCGCTGTTAAGAAAAGTGTGGGTTGTTTGTTTCTAGGCCTTACGAAACACAGAGATTCTAGTCAATTGAACTCAAGATCAGTCGCCGCAGCAAAGAAGCAATCTTTGTAACTTTACTTTTATTCCGAATACTACATTTTTCATCTCTTTTACTTTTTATATCATGACATCATATAATTGTCTATGATTACAGTTTCGCCCCTTTGTTATCCTTGTTTTTAATGTGCGGATGCCAAGTATTGTGACTTTGATCCAATACTTAGTGACGCAAGGTTGTATGTCATTGCTATCTGCGCTACATATATCTCGAATTGAGAGAAATAGGATTTTATATGCCATTGGATCGGGCCCCAGTGGATAAATGGTCTAAGAGCTCGCCTAGTAACTGGAAGTTTCTTGGGTTTGAACCCCAGTGCGTTCATGCTGATGAAGAGTCCAAAACTAGGACCAGTCCATTGTCCAGTGCTTCCAGATCTTCCAGTGGTCAACTAGTGATTACACCTGTACTATCTTCCTATCACATGTTCCCAAAATTCGCCTCAAATTCGTTTTCATTCATCACCCAGCTGTAAGACTATCCAGCAGAGTCGTATTTAAACGGCATTTTCAAATAAAACTTTATCATGGTTAAACCTCACCTAACACGCTATGCTATTTGTTGTCGTTGTGCTTTACTGTTGGTACTTTATAGTTTGACTTAAAAACTTCTTTTTTCTTACCAACGACAGTTATGATGTAGTCATGGACTGTTCAGATAATTTAGCCACGCGTTATCTGGTGAATGAGGCTTGCGCTGTAACTGGACCTAAGCCACTTGTGAGTGGCAGTGCCTTACGTTTAGAGGGGCAGATGACTGTATATCTTACCAAACGAGTTCTTCGGCAAGAAGGCGATCCGTACGAAGATCATCCTGGTTCGGAATATCGAGCTCCATGCTTTCGTTGTATTTATCCTGTTCCACCGCCAGCAACCAGTGTTCAGGGTTGCTCCGAAGCCGGTGTTTTTGGTGTCGGTAAGTTCGTTTTCAATGCGTTTACTAACATCATTTTTTATTTTGAAATAACTGAATTGTGGGTGTCTATGCTGGTGTCAATGCAGTGTTCAGCCGTCTAGTTCTAAGTGTTTATAGAAACGTATCAATCAAGTTTGAAATGTGGCCACTAAGCTAATTGGCCCTAAACGTTTTACATATCTTGGTGCCAGATACTCTGCATTAGCTGGTAAGAAATTCCGAACCCGGGTTTCGTTCTATATGGTTTGAATTTTGTAAGGAACATATGTTTTCCATAGGTTAATGATACGTTCTGCTGTGTATTTTTAGGACGTACAAAAGACGTCCAAAGATGTATTGTACAGTGGTTAAAGATGTTTTTCACCAATAGGTATTGGGTTCGAACCCTACCCTGTTTATTAAGGTTTGGATGGTTAAGTATTATCACTGACTCTAACAGTAAGTTTGACTTATTGTCGCTGTTTCATTCCAAATCATTTATTCCTGATTATGCCTTATCAATGGCTTAGTTCCTTCATCTAGTTGTAGATTTCTGATTGTCGAATAACGAAAAATATCTGATCCCTTGATTGGTTGTGTTAACTTCGTTTAACTATGACAGTCAAACGTTTAATTAGCTGTGAATAATTAACTTAAATTTGTTCTGATAAACTCAAATTAACAGCGTATGGCTTTCGTTGTGACATACTTCATATGTGTCCAGGAACACTGTCCTGTATAAAACATGAAATCTCTAAGGTTCACATATAACTGAAGGTAAGACTGCAGAAAGTTACCGTAGTTTTAGCATTCTAATAGGTTTTGCGATTATTGGTGTTATGATACTTCTCTTCGTTTAGTAGGATAAAATCTCATATTTGTTTGGCTAGCAGCAACATTTTTGGTGTTGTATTCCCTGAGCGGACTGGTTTGATTATAAAGCTTTGATTATCCCTCTGGATAACATCTTCAGTGGTAACTTCGCGTTGCAGTTAACATTTAGTTGTTTCTGAATTTTGGTATCGTTACTATTAGAACGACAAGGGAAATTTTACGTAAAGACCCTGCACAGCATATTTTATTTACTTTAAAAGACTTGTTAGTAAGGTGTCGTCTTATAGTAACTGTGTCCTCATCGTTTCCAGTAATATTTTTCGTTGAAAAATAACACTTATATGAGGATATTATCGTATATCCTGGATTCAAAAGAATCTGTTTTCGATCTATCTAGCAATGTGAGGGTTTCGTCGATGTGTATACGTACGTGTTTCAGCTTTAATCTGTCATACTACATCTATTGTGCCACAAAGTCTTACCGTCTGTTGTTATGGCAATTCGTTGGCTTCCAATCCTAGTCACTTGTAGGCGCAATGAGAGTTTATTACAGGTAGTAGTCACGTGGTCGCAGATTCAAAATTTATATTCGGCCAACATTACAATTTACTTCATGGTAACTATTATTGATAGAGGCTGTTTCTATTTGAAATGTTTTGAGTTATAACGTCTAGTGAAGACTCAAACACATAAATAACACTATTTCACTTTTCAGTTCCAGGTATAATTGGTACAATGCAGGCGGCAGAAGTCATCAAGCTACTAACTGGCGTGGGTGGTGAGTTTTCATTCTTCGAAGTTTAAATTGTATTTTAAGAAATCTTTTGTGATATAAGCTCCTTCGGAAGTTTTTGATTTCTTGTGTTTCATAATTTCTTAAGATGTTCATACTGGTCGCCTCTTCCTCTTGGATGTGGAGCGGAACTTAACTCGTTCAGTGAAATTACGCGAACGTCGGCTTGACTGTCCAGTCTGTGGAGATGATGTATTGAATAAGAGTGGTGACAAATGTCTTACTGACTACGTCTTATTTTGTGGAGCGCCTAGCTGCGACAAGGTGGGTTCATTTCCTTTGCCAAGTTTATATTTGATTCTTTGCAATTTGAACAATGCTTTATGATTGTATTAATTTTGACAAGTTAGTGTATGGTAAATGCAAAACAAACCAATTAATTTATTCAGTGATTTGAAAGATTCTACGGGGAGGCGCTTTTTCAGAAACTTCATATATTTATTCCCCTTAATGAATTTGAATAAAGCAAGAACAACAATTGTTTTAGAATAGTATGGTACCATCATTTATTTCGTTGCGTTCTCGTCATCTCCTTTCAGCCTAAATAAATTATTAAGTTTGTGTACAGAAAAGTTTTCACAAACCTGCAAGTTTTACATGATGTCAGTTGACGGGAGGTTCTAGACTTGGTGAACAGTGCTCAGAAAATCACGCTTATATAGGTTTTGCACAGGAACCTTTGACTGCACCGAAGAGCACGTTGTCTGATAGACGGGAATCAACTTAGCTACGTGATGGGCTCTAGCTAGTGACGTGTTGAGCAAAATAGAATTAATTGAAGACAGGCTATTTTCCCACTGTGATTCGTTCGATGTGTAAGCATTTACTCCTCCATATTTGTTAATTAAATCTCTGCTGCTAACCTTTGTTTTTCAACATCCTTTCGAGAATCATATTTTCTTCCTGTAATTTCTCCGTAGAGCACATTCTCTTAGCTCTATAGTACAGAGTTTTGACTACTGCTCGTTTTAAGCTATTTGGACAAAAACCGTTGAAATGCAAGTATTGCCTATTCCATTTCAACTTATTGTAAATTGACCTATGAAGACTGCCATCTTCTGGGCGTTACATGGCAATGTCGAGGAAATGGGACTTTCCATCATTTTCATGTTCTATAGCAAATTCAATATTTGTATGTGCGTCGTTGAATAATCTGACTAGTTAGGAAGCGTAACTTTCATTGTTGTACACTATAAATGTGTTGTCCACATATTGACAATAAGAAGTTTCGTCGATTGCATGCTTCAACTCTATTTTCACAAGGTTGAACATGAAAATATCTACTAAAACAGGGCTAAATGGACTGTCTATAGCTACACCATCTATTTGGTGGTAGAGTGTTGTCAAACTGGAATTATACATTGATGGTACACATTAGCAGTAGGCGTTTGAATTCCAACTCTGGGAGTGGGAGAAGATAAGACTGATGATTTACCTACATAATCGTTAGAGAATCATGGTTATTGAAAACAATGTTTTGAGTAACATCGAATTAATAAGACCAATAAATTACAGTTCATAACATGTGTATGCAATCATATCCATCGGAATACCAACAGCACATCTGAAGGAATTACTACTGAGATGCAGTCTGAACGTACGGTTCACTTTCAATGACACTATCTGTGGACAGAAAGATGGTATAAGAATAAAACTTGTGCACTGTGGTAGATTATAATTCCATTATCGGTAAAATTTTACCCATAATGGAACAAAAGGATGGTATTGCAATGGGATCTCCGTTGGGTTCACTGCTATCAGCCCCGAAAAAGATTCATTAAAACCAAGCGTTGACAATTTACGACTGTATAGAAGATACGTAGATGACATATTCATTATTTGTGACAACAGTAATGACCCGAATCTACTGCTGCAAACATTTCACTTTTGCCATCCAGCAATAAAATTCACTCTTGAAATGGAAAACGAATCAAAAATCCTCTTCCTTGATGTGGAACTAACAAGGAGAACTGATGGGACCTTACGAAGATCGATCCATAGAAAAGTTACTTGGAATGGTCAACTAACAAGTTTCTATAGCTGGGTACCCATCCATCAAAAGGGGAATTTAATTAAATCCCTTGCCACTCAAATCCGACTCATCTGTAGTCCCGATGTCTTAGAGACAGAACTAAATCTTTTGAGAGAAATCTTCATCCAAAATAGATGCCCATCAAGGTTTATTGACAAAAATATCAAACCGAGAGTTTGGAAAAACGAAACTTCACTTCCGCCGAAAAAGGAACTCAACAGAGATTTAGCAAGCGATATTCTCAAGAGAAGGATCACATCATTTCTGAGAAGAACATTCTTTGCAGCAATGCTAAGAATAGTGTTCTCCAGTCGCCCACTGATTACAGAAGCCTCAAGGACAAGATCCCTCATCTGACCACTTCTGTGTGCATATATCAGTTCACCTGCTGCTGTGGAGCCAGGTACATCGGCCATTCAATGCGCATCCTGTCCAAAAGGATTCAACACCACTATGTATCATGACTGAGTAAAGGCGATAGTGGTGCTGTAAGGAGAGTGATTAGGGAACACCTGGTTAACACTGATCATTCCAACTCAATAAACGCCTCCTTCAAAGTAATCTACAGTGTCAAGAATAACCTACCAAAGGCAGTACAGTTTCGTCTTCTTTGTATTGCTGAAGCTCTGGCCATTCCCATAGAAAAGCCGGAGCTGTGCATACAAAAGCGAATTGCTCAACCACTTATATTATCATGGTAACGACTTTGTTGATTTTTGATGACTTAATTTTGTTTTTTTGCTTATTTTTCAAATTGCTTATAATCCTTCTATTCATATAGAACTTTTGCATAACTTCATATTCTCTACTTTGTTTCTATGTGTATCCTGAGTGCAACTCAACCATCAGACTATTCATATTATTACGCAACTCCTTTTTAACAACTGCTTGTGACGACTCACCACCTTTGTTACTACCCTAGTTACATTAACACTCAATTTTCTTGACCCAAAACTTGATGATCCCCGCGCTTTTAGTTAAAATAACCATAACCAATTGTATTTTTGTTTGACAAACTTAATATACACATACATACAAAATAACCCATATATATATATATGCGATTGTACAGCTAAGAAAATGAATTCTCCGAAAAGAGACTTCACTGAAGTACTTGTTTTGTTGGTTAAATGTCACTAATTGGAAGTCAATTAGTAGCTCTTCATTATTCATAGGTGGTTAGGACTATAGACTCAGTTGCTCTTTAAATTAGACACTAGCTTTTCACTAGTTGACCACAAGTTAGAACTTCCTTCTCAACCTATCGGAGTTTCGCCAACCAAGTGGTATTGACAGGATCCCACATATTTTGGTATTGACCGTTTAATCTTGCATATATGGTATGTTATCATTCTCACACATTTTGGTATTGACTGCTAATTTTGTATATATGGTATATTATCATTCTCACACATTTTGGTAGTGACCGTTAATCTTGTATATATGGTATATTATCATTCTCACACATTTTGGTAGTGACTGCTAATCTTGTATATATGGTATATTATCATTCTCACACATTTTGTTACTGACTGTCAACCTCGCACATATGGTATATTATCATCTCTCACGCACTTTGTTATTGGCTATTAAGATAAATTATTTCAAATGCTGTTAGCTGTCCATATTGTTGTAAAATGTATAAATACCATGGCTTTCAAATAAAGTATAATTATATTTTAATAGTTTACACACAATGATAAGTTTTGTTATTGGTAATATTTCGAGCAAAATTACTGCCCGTGTTCACACCACTGTTGGAATTGTTTTATTCACACATTTATGATTTGTATTCACATATATAGTTCATTATTATTATTTTGTTCATTCATGTTTTGTGTGTGCATATGTGTGTTCAGAATTATACTCCACATTCATTCATGTGTTTGTGTTTAGAATTATATTCCAAGTTGTTGATAGTTGTACTGAGTCACCCTTGTTACATGTATCCGGTGTGACTTTAATGAATATCGATTCTGTTATGAGTCTTTCTTTCCATTTGTTCATGTTTGTTTTTAGAATACACACATTCTCCCAATCGATATTGTGGTTTTTGTCCCATGCATGTGCAGCTATGGATGAATTTTTTTCAAGATTTTTGTAGGCTTGTGTCCCTGTTGGTTGACCTTTAGTTAGGCGTTTATGTTCATTCACTCTTATTTTGAGTGATCTGGACGTTTGCCCCACATATTTAGTTGGACAGTCAGCACAAGATATTTTATAAATCAAATTGATTTTATCCATCATTTTTATGGGATCTTTCAGCTGATTTATTTTATTTTTGATTAGATTTGTCGGTTTAAAGGTTGTTCGAATGCCGATATTTTTGAGGTTTCTTTGTATTGCCTCTGATGTACCATTTTTATATGGTATTGCGACTGTTTTTCTCCATTCTTCCTTCTTGTTATTCTCCGGTTTTACTCTCTTTTTTCTCTTTTTATATTATCTTTTATAAATTCTTTAGGGTAGTTGTTTTCGAGTAACATTTTGAATAGGACTTTTATTTCTTTACGCTGGTCCTCTGGTGCTGTTGTAAGTCTACGTATTCTATCTGCAAGACCCTGTATTAATCCTCGTTTTACCGAGAGTGGATGAGCTGAGTAATAATCAAGGAATCTTCCAGAATGTGTGGCTTTTCTATATATCGTTGTTTTTATGCTACCATCTGTCATTCTTTGTAGCTTGCAATCTAACATGGGCAGTTCTCCAATTTCATTCTCTACTTCCATAGTAAATTTTATTGAGTCGACGTGTTTGTTTATTTACTATGGAATTAGAGAATGAAATTGGAGAACTGCCCATGTTAGATTGCAAGCTACAAAGAATGACAGATGGTAGCATAAAAACAACGATATATAGAAAAGCCACACATTCTGGAAGATTCCTTGATTATTACTCAGCTCATCCACTCTCGGTAAAACGAGGATTAATACAGGGTCTTGCAGATAGAATACGTAGACTTACAACAGCACCAGAGGACCAGCGTAAAGAAATAAAAGTCCTATTCAAAATGTTACTCGAAAACAACTACCCTAAAGAATTTATAAAAGATAATAAAAAAAAAAATAAAAGAGAGTAAAACCGGAGAATAACAAGAAGGAAGAATGGAGAAAAACAGTCGCAATACCATATAAAAATGGTACATCAGAGGCAATACAAAGAAACCTCAAAAATATCGGCATTCGAACAACCTTTAAACCGACAAATCTAATCAAAAATAAAATAAATCAGCTGAAAGATCCCATAAAAATGATGGATAAAATCAATTTGATTTATAAAATATCTTGTGCTGACTGTCCAACTAAATATGTGGGGCAAACGTCCAGATCACTCAAAATAAGAGTGAATGAACATAAACGCCTAACTAAAGGTCAACCAACAGGGACACAAGCCTACAAAAATCTTGAAAAAAATTCATCCATAGCTGCACATGCATGGGACAAAAACCACAATATCGATTGGGAGAATGTGTGTATTCTAAAAACAAACATGAACAAATGGAAAGAAAGACTCATAACAGAATCGATATTCATTAAAGTCACACCGGATACATGTAACAAGGGTGACTCAGTACAACTATCAACAACTTGGAATATAATTCTAAACACAAACACATGAATGAATGTGGAGTATAATTCTGAACACACATATGCACACACAAAACATGAATGAACAAAATAATAATAATGAACTATATATGTGAATACAAATCATAAATGTGTGAATAAAACAATTCCAACAGTGGTGTGAACACGGGCAGTAATTTTGCTCGAAATATTACCAATAACAAAACTTATCATTGTGTGTAAACTATTAAAATATAATTATACTTTATTTGATCTAATCCACTATGCTCAAACTTTTTACTGATATTAAACCATGGCTTTCTTTATCGTTGTTGCACTTCAATACACAGTCACAGTCCAGCCTTTGTCTTTTGATATTTGCGTGCTTTACTAAGTCGGAAGGTACGACGAGCAGATAGACAGATTAGTTCAGGCGCAGACAGAATAAGGTGAAAACGTCTTCATTCAACTCCCTACAGTTATAACAGGTATCATGAACCGCTATTCAATATGTAGCTCATCGACGTGCCCATTAGTAATCATATTACTGTTTGGTAAGACAGTGTCGTAATCGCATAAGAGGATTTCTTATTCATCAATGTGTATCTTATAGTCTAATTGTGTGACTTATTTTGATAAGATTCATTGTATTTCATTGATAAATTTTGTTAATATGCTTGACCAGTGTTCACTGAACAGGGTATTTCACCAAAAATATATTTTACTTTTTAACAGCCACGTAATATGAATCTGACAATGAACAATCGTCGTATTACTGTTCAAGTAAATATTGTCCTTTTGTGTATAATAAGTGTTTATTGTTTAGCAATTGAAAAACTACGTGGACTCGCAAACACCACATTTAATTATTGATATACGTCCGAGGACTGAATTCGACATATGCCGTTTGAAGTCATCTTGGCGTGAGTTTATTCATCCTTATGCATACATAGCACTGTCGTTTACAATCAGACTATTTAATATCATCATGTTGATTGTTCACATTACGATTCTGAGATACAATTTCATGGGGTAAAGTCTTTGTTCCTATTATGCCCTAATTGACACGTCAGTTGTATTGCATTTTCAATTAACTATCAGGTTATGATAGGAATATATAAGGCTTAACTATATTTACCACTATCAAGCGAAGGACTCACAAATACTTAAGAAAATAAGTGTCTGTGTGATGTGGGATGATTGCTATTCGTTGTATCTTGTCGTTCCTCATCTCATCGGTGACACCTATGACTGTCAGATGTTTCTAACTGACGGTATGAAAAATTATTATGATGACCCCCAAGTAGGTAGAAAATAATTCATTTGATTTACCAACAAAATACTTACTAATAAATCACCAGTTCAACAGAAATGTAAATACTAGATAAATGTATTTTCCAGTTATGTTTGAGAATCAAAAGTATTGTTTTACTGAGTTACTATAACTAAGGATGATGGATTGTGTGTCATGTAAACAAGACAATGGGTAGAGACAAATTTCAGTATGTGAAAAACTAATAAACACAAGACACTTAGTTGTTCAAAGAGTCACTTTTCGGTGAATTCATTTCCTCAACAATACAATCACATTTCTATACATCTTTGGTCTCTTAAAAGTCGATAGTAAGATAAGGATGAATCACCATGAGAATAGTTGCCAATATTGATCAATACATATATGAGAAGTTGAATAAGGGTGACAGAGTTACGTAATGAAATAAATAATTTGATAAGTGAGTTGTAATCAGGGTAAACATAGAAGCAAAGTGAATTTTATGTCACTTACGAGTTCGAGAGGACAGATGACTCAGAAAAGGTATGAGAAATAAAATAATTAGGTTGAAAATGATAAGGTCCTTATCATGATAATATAAATGGCTTAAAGAGTTTTTTGTATTCACAGCTCCAGTTTCTCCATCTGGATAGTCACAGGCTTCAGCAGTGCAATAGAGGGAAGAGTAGGTCGGTCTTAGAAGCGTGTATATTTATATTATCATGATAAGGACCTTATCATTTTCAACCTAATTATTTTATTTCTCATACCTTTTCTGAGTCATCTATCCTCTCGAACTCGTAAGTGACATAAAATTCACTTTGCTTCTATGTTTACCCTGATTACAACTCACTTATCAAATTATTTATTTCATTACGTAACTCTGTCACCCTTATTCAACTTCTCATATATGTATTGATCAATATTGGCGACTATTCGCATGGTGATTCATCCTTATCTTACTATCGACTTTTAAGAGACCAAAGATGTATAGAAATGTGATTGTATTGCTGAGGATAAATGAATTCATCGAAAAGAGACTTTGTGGTGAACCACTTGTTGTGTTTTTACCAATGCCCCGGAAGGGAGTTATTCATGAATGTGCAAAAATTAACTAGAAATTCATTTTATGTTTGTGTTTCACTTTTTGAACCATCAACTAACGTTTGATGGTATCTTTTTCGTAGACATTCCTGTAAATGACCTTTTGCGCCATTCAACGATATCTAAAATTCGAGAAACCATTGATAATCGGATCATTCAAGGTGCTCCCGAACCTTTCCCTGGTATGCACACTTTTTCATTAAAGTCATTTTTTTATTGTGCTAGTTGATGAGTTTTCCTTTCAAATACAGGACATGACGTGTTTCATTATCATTCGCTTATATAATGTTGTTTCTTTTGAAAGCATTGTCTGTTAGGCTGTAATGTTGTTCGACTCTGTTCTTCTTTCCTTACCTTTTGAAAACGTTTCATCCACAGATGAAAATTATGATTTCATTCTTATTTTACATAAGATTATTGATTCCAACTGTTATATTACAGCTTCGGTTATCAAGTCGGAAAATAAGTTACCTGAAGTTGTTTCTGTTCCCAAGTTTTCGGACTTTATTGTTAAGCTAGAAATACCTGGAAGAGATTCACTATTAGTTTGTTTATTAGATATATCACACAGTGAAACAGTATAATTTACTGGATGATGTTTCGAACAAAATTTATTCTTCATAATCATATCAATTATAATCACACGACTTCGAAACTCAATTTTTTTAGTTTTCTTTGTTCTCTCTTATTTGTCATAGGGGTAGTAGAACTTTCCAGATATCTGGTACAGGTGTTGAATCATTCCTATTACACGTGTTTGTAGTTGATTCGATAAAAAGTGGCTGACATTCAAACCCACAAACTCAATTAGAAACAAGCTTTGTCGGTTAAATGATCCTGTGGAGCCTTTTATCCAATACCCTGCTTGCAATGATTGTCAAGTCAAAGTAGTAGAACAGGGGCAGTCAGGCTAGCCGAGCATAAAAACCCAGCAAAATCTAAATTAGTTGACCCGAATAAGATAAGAAATCTAGAGAATAGCACTCACTACTTGCAACTACACACAACCATACAATAGGATGGGATAAGATGACGATTTTAAAGTCTAATGTCACAGGGTATAGGGAGAGATTGATAACAGAAGCTTTGTTTATCGAATCAACTGCAAATACATGTAATAGGAATTATTCAATACCTGTCCAGTCGGATATCTGAAAAATTCTTCTACCCCAACGACGACAAATAGGAGACGACAAAGAAAACCATAAAACTCAATTTTCAAAGTCGTGTGATTACAATTGATATGATTATGAAGAATAAATTTTGTTAGAAACTGTGTCATCCAGTAAATAATACTGTTTCACTGTGTGATACATCTAATAAACAAACTAACATGGAATTACTTACTACCACAATGTCTAAGTTTTACACATATATTAATACCTGGATGAGAGTTGACATTTTGCGAGTGCCGGCAATGCTTGTCTTCCTATGGCAGTGGAAATGCTACACATTTTTCTAAAAATCTAAATCTTCTCTTCAACTCTTCCAACCAGTATCCTCACATATTTACGAAGATTTTATTGTTATATAAACCAGTAGGAATATTTCTGTTCGTATGGTTATCTAGACTTATATTAAGCGTAGTTTGGTTATTAGTGACATATCATTATAATAAGCCTTATAAGGCTTCATTACTGTACTGCCCAAATAGAATTATTTTAAGCAAATACGTGAATGAATTACTTTCAGTAACACAACTGTCAAGTCCTACTATACGTCATTGTATCATTTGTGGGTATGGGTATTATTTGGGAAATAATCCAAAATATTTTAATATGCATTTAAACGATTTCAAAATCGAAGTAAATCATATAGTCGATTTTTATGTTGATATTTTGATGAATATTGTTCAGCTGTATGTCACATTTCAACTGTCTTCTCTTTTTTATAATTTTTAGTGATACTTTTATGTCATCGTGGTAATAAATCCGCAGAAGCTGCACCACATTTGAGCAGCGCACTGTCATCATTTCGAAAATCAGATTCCGAAAGCAATATAAAAGAATTGGCATCAGTTGACGACGACACTTCTAATCATCCTGACTTTATAGTGTGTGACGTTGCTGGAGGTCTTTCTGCATGGGCTCTAGAAATTGATCCCAACTTTCCAACATATTAATTGATAACTCACTTCTTCAAATAAATTAAAATCGTGATTTGTAATAAAATCAATATTCTATTTGTATTCATATATATTAACTTAATGTGCATATAAGATTAACTGAAATGTTCTTGCTTCATTTGTCTATGCGGATGTACTACAGTGTCAGCAGTACATTTGTTTCAATTAAGGCATCCGTTACAGGTTACATGAATGACTTGCGTATAAGTCAACTGTTTAATCAAAATTTGTATATAGTGTGATTCACGCATCCCAATATTTCATACATGTCATGTTTCACGGTGTAACAAATCTGCCTACCTACTCTTAACAGTTGAATCATTCGCATTAATGTAAAACGCTTCTGTCTGTTACAAATCTTTTCTTTCTAGTTTATCGAATAATTAATTTGTAGGGGTTAGTTTTGTTCCACAGTAGGATGAATCAAAACTCTACATAAGGTAGTGTTCACTCTTGTTTTCATCGCTACATTCTCACTAGAATCTTTCAATGCAGTGTTAGGGATAAAAAATCACTGCAGTCCTCAATATCTTTCGAACGTACATGAGATAAGTGAACACTAAGTATATCATTTTTATATGTCATTGCAATGTGTATTCGGTCTGATTGTTTGAGAATATGTCAGTACAAACAAAACAGATGTCGTGATTGACCTATGAAAAGTCTTTGCCACGTAAATTGCAATGTTTTCCATAATATGTTTATATATAACCTATCGAATTCACCCAGGTTTATGTTATTTTCTAAGCTGATTGTTTTGGAACACTTTCGTTCTGACGATTTTCTCTTCAACTGATATTTATTCCGTCTACAGTGTGTGTGTGCTTTCGGCTGACAGGTGCCGAACCTTCGAAATTGCCTTCCAGTTATGGTGGGATCATTTTACGTTGACTGAAAGCCGTAAATCTGGTTTACCTAGAGGATGCTATGAACTCGTAGCCAAACTAGGAAATTTTGTGGGGTAGCTCAGAGTAAGCTGTCCATCATATCACTTCATCTATGACAGAGATCAAGAGAAGGAAACAGAAGTTTTGTAAAAAAAATATTTCCGTGTACAATTCTGAACATTTTTGTCTAAAATCCCTATTTAATTGATTTGATTGTTCTTCTTGATGTGTAAACTATTTACGTGAAAGTGGATAGTTCACACATCAAGAACAACCATCAAATCACCAGCCCGACAGATAACTGCTACCTTGCATATCGCAATAACCCAACAAGCTACGCTGGCTGGAACCAATATTCCTGCAGGTCCTACCATGCCAGGAAGGTTGTTAGTATAGCGATTAGACTAGAAGCAGTTACCGGTATAATGTAAGAATCTTTCTTACACTATGCTGGGGGTCTGTAGGCGAAGTCGTACTCCTGGGGAACAGGGATATAACAGCAGTAAGGTGTTTCCCTCAGATGACCAGCATGTGCGTCGGTGGCGCAGTGGCTAGGACTCTCGCCGACCATTCACATGGTTCGATCCCCTGCCGACGCACACCTGATATCTATGGTAGGCCTGCAAAATTTGGGCTACCTATATCCATGCTGAAAATTCCATACTTGTACCAAAAATACAGTGTAGAATTAAGCTGTAAATTAAAAATCAGAAAAAATCAAAAATGTCAGCTATGCTGTCTCTCCACTCTGGAGAGATAGGGTTACAAAAGGTTGACCTCAAAAATTGTACATCCCGACTTATCCTACGGTGGTCTGTAACCGGCGGTAAGTTTACTAATACGGAACCAATCCAAGAAACCAGTTCATACATGCCGTGTGTGACCGGCCTCAAGCAGTTGTCCCATGGGCTCTGCTGTCATGCAACACTAACCATCTTTCTGTTTCAAATACCCCGAAGAATCAATCAACTTCCACAGTGTGGGCAGCCGAGAAGTAACAACCGCCCGCACACTTCCAAAAGCACATGAAACCCTCCTGATCACCATCGTCCTATATCTCTGTCACCCTTATCATCTTGTTTCCGTCCTACTGTTAATACTATTCTGCAGGCTAGTGAGTCATCTTCGTTTCATTCCGTGACCACAAATAACGATGAGAACCATAGAAACATCCCTGGCAGCCTCTAATAGCCACGTCGCAAACTTGATATTGGACCATTTAACGTCAGAATCCTCTGCCAAGTCGGACACTAAGCATCGCTAGCCACAACTCTGCCATCTCGAGTTATAGGTGTATATTGTGTTTCGGAGACACACATACAGGACCCGGATGTGGTTATTCACTTAACCCCACCCGGTCAGTAAGGTGAATCTGTGCGTCGGTGGCACAGCGGTTATGACTCTCGCCGATCATGCACATGGTCCGGGGTTCGATCCCCTGTCGACGCACACCCGATATCTATGGTCGGCCCAAGAAATTCGGGCTACCGATATCACATACTGAAAAATCCATACCTGTACCAAAAATACGGTGTGGAATCAAGCTGTCATCAAAAATCAAAAACATTCACTCTAAGGGTGTTAGGAGACCTCTCAGCTAGTTCGCGAGGACTCGCAGGTGTAGGAGTAGCGTTGATTGTTAGGGCAGAAAAATCCCTTCTTGACTGGATCCTAATTGATAGTTGTATGTGTGCGATCCGTCTGAACGGATCCGTTAGAAGAGGGAAGGACAGTGTTACCCATCGTTGTCTTTTCGTAGTCTCCGCTTACGCCCCAGCCGACTGCAGTTCGGGTGAACTAAAGGATGGCTTCTACCTGAAACTGTCTAGTCTGCTGAAAAGCAAACGCGACTTCAATGCTCATGTAAGGAAGTTATTCCAGACTGAGAAATATGTAGGTTGTTTGTATGGAGTCCGCTGCCGCCGAACCGACAATGGTGATCGTCTTTTGCAGTTCTGCTCAGCTAATCATCTGTTCCTATTCAGCACTAACTTCGACACAAAGAGGGACACTCCCTAACTTGGCGACCTCCATCACCAAACGAACGTTGGACTCAAATAGACCACTTAGCGATAGTGTATCGTTGGCGAGGGTCAGTAGGACACTGCCGCTCCTTCTGCAACACGCCCTGGTTCGTGCAGGTTTATATTAGTATTAAATAGACATAAAAAGTTGTTGGCAGCGAAGCAGTTTCGTCCTCAAGTAGTTCAAGCGAAACAAGTATCTGAGGTAGACAGCAGGACTCCTCTTGAGGTAACCTGGCACAACATGCAGTTAGCTGTAGACACAGCTGTAAAAACTGTTAATGATCTGTAACTAATAGTCATTAGGAGCCATTGGATCTCTACTACCTCATCCGAATTGGTAGACGCAAGAAGACTTGTTCCGGCGAGCTCCGACTATGATGAGGAGCGAAAGCTATTTAGACGCAAACTAACAAGAAGCCTTCGTAACGACCGTGAACAGTGGTGGGCGACAAAGCAAAATAGATGGAGAAGACATCGGCGATCGGCAACACCAGACAACTATTTAGACTTGTCAGGGAAACAGGTGGCAAATGATAAGTGAAACAATCTCTGAGACAAATGGCACGATAATTAGCTCTCGGGATAGATGGCTAGAACGTTGGAAAGAACACTTTGAGGAGCGATTTAATTGGCATATAGCCACGCTCAACCTACCTAGCATCCAACACCTCCCTGAATGGGATATAAACACCAGTCCTCCTTCCCTAACTGAGACTGTCATTAGTCTGAAACGAGGCAAAGCACTGGGGACTGATGGAGTAACTCCAGTTATTTAAGGACGGTGGAGACAGCTTACTGTCTGCGTTAACTAAGGTTTTAGGCAGCGTCTGGATCAAACACGACAGAACCAAGCAGTCTTTAGTCTCAGTCGACCGAGAGGTAATATGGTGATGTTTGGCTGTGAAGGGAATGCCGGAAAAACATATTGCACTGATCAAGGCGATCTACTCGAACTCATGCAGCCAAGTCAGAGTCTACGAATAGTTGTCATCTGACAGCCAGTGGTGTCCGTCATGGATGGCCACTATCCCTATTTCTATTTTATTTCTTCAAAGATGTACTAGTGGACCCTAGCTGAATTCAGAGACTCAGGGATTGACTTGTTGCCAGGGGATAATCTCGTTGACTTAGAATATGCATATAACGTAGTCCTTCTAGATGAAGGCACTGACAAAATAGAGTAGTCTTCTGAAGAACTTGAAGGACAGCAATCTTCGATTATTCGGTATGCGATTTGCTCCCGTTGGATGTAAGGTGATGCTACAGGACTGGACTACATTGACTCACTCCTAGGAGGTCGGGGTGGCTGAGCGGTCTAAGGCGCCAGACTCAAGAGTAATCCTCTGGATGTTCTGGTCCACGATGTGGGCGTGGGTTCGAATCCCACATCCGACACACGCTTTGTGCGTCGGTGGCACAGTGGTTAGGACTCTCGCCGACCATGCACATGGTCCGGGGTTCGAGCCCTCGCCGACGCACACCTGATATCAATGGTCGGCCTGCAAAATTTGGGCTACCGATATCCACGCTGAAAATTCCATACTTGTACCAAAAATACATTGTGGAATCAAGCTGTAATCAAAAATAAAATAAAAATAAATAGATAGGGAGTGAAGTGGTTGAGCATGTTGACCACTTCACTTATATGGGAAGTTGCATCAGCAAACACCAGTGGGTTGATCGCTGACGAAATCTCAGCACAGATACAGAAAGCTAGTTTCGCATATGCCAGTTTATGCCGTCTCTGGCGTAGACGTGATATCCGGCTATTGACCAAAGGATGTGTGTTCTGCTCACCAGTCCTCTCTCTTTTTCTTTGTGGCTGTGAGACATTGTTATTGAAAGTGGAAGACATGAAAAACTAACTATTTTTGATCACAGGTGACTGCCTATCTGTCTCACGTGTGAAGTGGTGTAACAAGAAGAGCGAGATTGGGCTTAGGCGTCGAGTGCTAGGTAAGGAGGGGAAATCCATCGACGAGGTTGTTAAGTCACACCGATTGAGATGGCTAGGACATGAGTTACGAATGCACCCCTAGCGATCGACGGACGATGTCAGGTTAGAAAAGAATTGGGTACTGGTGGTCAAACCAAAACACGGAATCAGTCAATGAAATCCACAGCAGTTAGTTTTGGCCACGTAGCGGGCTGTAGACTTTCTGACTGACTGGTGTGGGTCCGCGGGTTGGTAAAAGCCAATGAAGGCTGGAGACATTTAGTGATATTACTCAAAATCGTTGTCAATGGCTGGCACAGATACTTTCACTCTTTGTGATTTATAATATCCAATTATATTGTATTGTTCTTCCACTATGCTATTCTTTTGCCTCATATTTCTCTTTTGAGTCTCTCTTTTCTCCTGCTTTATGTGCTCCGTGGAGGGAGTGTGGCAGCTCGAACTGCTGCACATCTGTGCATAGTTCTACGTTAAAACCAGTTAGTCAGGATCTAAGTTATCTATTTCCATCTGACACAGATAAATAATCATAGAAACAATCTGTGATCTATAGTCCTCAAAGGGCTTATTTATCTACTGTTGATTTGTTATATCTAAGTATTTTCAGTCATTCAGGATGCTGACTTTGGAAAGAATCTATCTTCTTTTAGTTACTTCAACTAATGTTTGACAAACACTATCCTCGGGACGTTGTTGTTTATATTTTCTTAATTATAATCTTTTGTCTGTTTAATTTATATTTTTATTAATTAACAAAACGTAGATAAAGAGGTGAGGATATAAGTTATTGCAAATTGAACTCGCTACTCTTTCGTCTCGGTGAACTCACATAGGTTGGAGGGAGGTGGTCAGTTACGACTTGAATTTCTTCAGTTAGTTGGTTTTGTAATACGTGGCTGGAAAGAAATTCTGTAATCAGATCAGATATTACGTCCGGCTGTTTCAAGAGTGTGAAATCAACTTTTTCACACAGCTGGAACATCTGTTGTAACATGTGTCAAACTATGGACAAAAGTACCTCGCGATAGCTTTTATCCTCACCCACAATGAAGATAGAGTGTATATTCCATTTTCTTTAAGGAAGTTTACGTTTGCGTCAACCGTAACAACTGCCAATTGTTTCCTAACAGCACTTCTGTTTAGCTCCTACAGTCGAACCAGGTGTGTGATCTTTCAAAATTATTTATAGATTGAAAACGCTGAAACAGATATCTTGAATGGACTTTTTGTTTGACAACTATTGCCATTCTTTTCAAACTGACGAAGCCTGTGTCAATACCACTTAAGCACATCTGATGTTATTTCTTGCCACTGAGTCTTTTGGCATACGTGACCGAAGCCATCATTGTCACTAGCTTTACTTAGTACAAAACCCTAAATATGATTCCATCAACCAAAAGAAACATTAGCTCGCCTCGGAAGTAAATCACTCTGATCTTATATTGCTATTCACATCAGACATATGACCCATCAAATTTGTGGTGAAGGGACTATCCGACATGACCGTGAGTAGTTATACAATACGGGATAATTTAGTTTCACGATGTAAATAAAGAATAGTTACCTCTTAGGGATTTTATGTCCTGCAGTGAGCATCAAACTACGTCCAGTACCCTCCAGCAAAATTTCGAAATGTTTCACAGAACGCGAGATCAAGTTAATAACTGGTTGGCTTCTATGCTTGAAAATGAGTCACAGTCTAGGGCTGTGATTACAAAGCTATTAACACTTTCAGGGAGTAGAGTTTCAAACACAATTTCATGCTCTTGGATATGTTTATAAGCAATAAAATATTGTCGAAAAGTCTTCAATAAATAATACTGTTTCACTGCGTTTTTTCCAAATAGAATTATTCTGTAGCGGTAAAACAAATCATAAAACAAGTCATTGGTCTAACTGAAAGGATCTTCGAACAGTGACTCTGTCTTCAGCCTTACTGCACGATTCATGATATCGTGAACAATTTCTGCTCAGTAGTGGAACCGCTAGCTTTAATCAGTTTGATCAAGTCTGGTCGTTTTCAGTGACAGTGTTCAGAATGACTAGCAGCGTCACAGATACGTTTATACCGTATCTTTAGTATTGTCATTAATATTTTATATTTCAAATAGTATTTTGTAACTTGATATTATTTGAATTCATTAGCGTTTGATACTATCACGCTTATGATACCAGTCATCTTTGAAAAAAACATCTTGTTTCTGTTACTCTTCAGTGCAATAGACAGTAAGACTACTCTGACGTAAAATTATTATGCGATTGTGTAATTGACTTTTCTTTGTTACACTATGCTTCATGCGGTTAGGCTTTCTCTCATAGTAGGACGCTAGCATATGATATGCTTTGAAAAGGAAATTATAATAATTTCACGCAACCACCAGTAAATTAATATAGTGACTACAGTTAGTATACACTAAAAACAACTCATTTTTTCTAAAGTGCAGAAAATTGTTTGATTACACTTTACAGAGTATCATTACTAAACTAAATGAAATACAAGTTTATACAAGCAACTGTTTCGGTTTATTCAAATATATTATAGAGTCTAAAATCCCTTCTTATATTCTTTTTACAGAAAAGAAGATTTGCATTTAGATGTATTATTCCACACAAGTGTTCAGTTTTATTAACCTATATCAGGATGTATAACATAATCTTTTGGTTGTCTACTCACTAAACGTAAGTAGTGAGATCCAGGATAGTCATATTTTACCAAATCTTTCGGAACTGTATAAGGTGGCAGATGGTGCCAACTGCAGTACATCCAATGATCTCGCCTTTCGTTTTGCGTCAATAGATTCAAGTGTTTCAGATGAGTTGAACCATTGCCACGAGAAAATATTGGATGTGGAGCTGTGCCTAGATTCCAATCGCTTCTGAAAAATGTGTTTAATTTGTTTTTATTATTATTGTCAAACAGAGCTGCTTATATCAACATAATGTAAATTTTTACAAATAACGAACTGTCTGCCAGTATGTGTCTTGTTGTCAAACAGTTTATGAATGACAGTAGTCTTTAATAGTTGTTGTAGTAGTGAATTATAAATTCAAGTTAGACAAGTAGAAGGTATTTCCCAAAGCCATGCATATATATATATATATATATATACCGTCATGCAACCTTAAGATTTTAAGTAGAGTAACAATTTCTGACGGACTGCTGGGTACACTTTACATTGATCTGTCAAAAAGACAGATTGAAGTAATTATTATCACTAAGTAGTCTCAATACTTACGTCGGTGGTATAGCGATTAGGACACTCGCCGACCATGCACATGGTCCGAGGTTCAATCCCCGGCCGACACACTCTTCCTTTACACCGCTGAGCCAGAAATAATGCTGGTAAAGAGGGAAGGTTGGGCATGAGGTTGGCAACCCCATCCTGTAAAATAAACACTGCTACAGAAACTTCAAGCCACTAGCTTGAAGCCCTATGTTCCACTGGGGAACGTGAAGGAAAAAAAGTCTCAATATTTGGGTCTGAAGGGTCTAAGATACCAGCGAATCAACGTGGTACACTTTTTCATGTAGTTGTCTATTAATTACTTCTGACATACGGTAGTTGGTTTTGTCAATCATTTGTCTAAAGGGAACGCAAATGGATTAATATTCACAACTTTTAAAAGAAATAAACCCGTTTGAGTTGTTACACTTTCGGACAACACATAAAAAGAATGATTAAGCACTTGTAAAACTGTATAGAAATAAACTAAAATGGATAATCTGATCATCAATAATAGTCGAATGCTTGACTTATAAGCCATACCTGTATAGTATTGATAATTGTCAAATATTCATTTAAGAGTTTTGTATATTCCCAGTGAGTGAATGGTATACGAGCTTGCCCTGTAACCGGAAGGTCCTGGGTTCGAACCCTGGTGGTGGGTGCGTACTGCCGATGATTCCCAAACTGGGATGAAACAGCTCTCCAGTGCTGATTTTCAATGGTTCTCTAACTGATATCACTCCATGATCAACTCGTAAAAACAAAACTAATCCTTACAAACCAACCTTAGGAAATAAATCAGAAATATTATCTGTTGTTACAGAACTACAATGAACAGATACAAGCAAGTGTTATGTATTTCAAGAAAGGCAGTTTTGAATAAATTTCAAAGAGATATCGTTTGAGATCTATAGAATTTATTTGTAAATGCAGCTAGTTGTAATTCTGAATAGACTGCAGTTCAACTGAAGGGCTTTATTTTACTATAATTCCATGCTGTGTTAATGCATAAAAACTTTCGAGTCTATTCTCTTGAATTAATAAGTAATTCAATCACAGTAGTCTCCTTCTTCCACAAGCCGTACTTCTTCTATAAGGTAACAAATTTAGGTTTTCAATTTAACCAGGATGACAAGTCTGGTTTCGACGATTTATAATATGAATTAATTCTAAATGTTAGGTAGTATTAAACGGCTTTCAAAATTTAGAGTACTATCTCCTCCAGAGACCTAATTTGTCCTCCCGTTTCTACTGTGTGTTTGAACAGCCTATGAGGAATCTAATATAACTCTAATTTGATGAAAGAGGGAGGGATTCTGTCCTAAATTCATTAACATTAACCTCAGTCTCTATAACTAAAGATAAACTATTCATATTAAACTATTTCAAGAATATCACAGAGTAAAATCTGTCCTTTAAATTGAATAAATAGTCGTACAATAAGTATGGTAAGTGTAATGTACTGGTTTTATGGTCGACTATAGAAGATACATAAACCAACTTGCTTCAACAGTCATATCATGAAAACTTATCCAATTATCACATCATCTCACTTCACAGTATTCTTCAAGAGTTCTTGGATTTGACGTTCACTATACTGATCTTGTTTATTTGTCTCTTGAGTGAGCTTATGTATAATCTTGAGAGTGGCTATACGTTCTGAAAGTAAACAAAATGAAGGAGGTTTTAAAAGTTACGTATGATGCTACAAAATCCTAACTCAGTAAAATGTCAAAGAAATACTTATTAGATTAGGTGGCGACAATTCTTTCGAATAATTGGTACATACATTTTTCTTTTTTGATTACAGCTTGATTCCACACTGTACTTTTGGTGCAAGTATGGAATTTTCAGCATGGATATAGGTAGCCCAAATTTTGCAGGCCGACCATAGATATTCTGGTGTGTGTCTGCAGGAGATCGAACCTCGGACCATGTGCATGGAGAAAAATTCTTGAAGTCTGTGAAAACTTATAAAGTAAGCTATTACTATTACTTATAATCTAGTCACTTAAATTAAGGAAATGGCTAAGCAATCCACAGTTACCTATCATGGTAACTCTTCGATTGTGAGAGTCAGATATATGATATCTAATGTGGGAAAAAAAAACAAGACCAATGGAAACCTTTAGTAAAAAGCTTATAGGAGTAAACGTCAACTCTTTAATAGAAACCATTTACTAGCAGTAGTCATAAAATAAATAAATTATTGGTGATCAGCTATTCACTTTATGTTTAAGGCAACTCATTTATTCTTATTCTACTTTCTCTCCTCATAATGATTAGTAGTAGTTACGACGGTCTCATAGCATCCGACATTATGGATGTGATTGGTAGAATTCATATCTATTACTAATTGGCACTCGTGGCCCAAGTGGTCTAGTGGATAACGCTTTGGCATTTGAAACTATGAGCACTGGGTTCTAGCCTCGGTGGGAACATTATCACTCACTGAGAAATGCAGGTACATCCAGGTGACGAGTCCCAAATAGGACGAAATGCGCATCCTGGATTCCATTGCTAGTCATCATCCACCAATTAAACACTAAGAATTCACATCTAGCTTAATAACTATTTTTATCAAATGATAGGCTTGAAGTAAGGCCAAATTAGAAAATCTTATCTCCTGTACGAAATTCTTTGTTTGTTCCTTGGCATCTATTTCATCCTATGGTAATCAGTTTATCCTATTCATTAACGTGACTGTGTCTCAACATTCTGGAGCGAAATAGACAGAATTCGAGGTAACAAGTTTTCGGCTCTTTGAAGTGTCGTCATCAGTTGGCCGTATAATGACTATTAATATTATAGCAGTCTGTGAGAGTTTCTCGACCTTCTTAAACATGTTCAGTCGAACAGCGGTTAAACGGCTGGTTTCTTAGATCCTTTCAAGAAGATCGCTTTTCACCCTTTGGAAACAACTGAGACAATAAGTCTCGGGAATCGGTTAATAAGGCATCTAGGAATCCCAGTGAGAATTTAATAATTAATTCTAATCATGTGGCATTAAATATGCAACTACTTGTATGTTCGATGTGTTTCGGAATGAATCAACACACACTAGATTGCTTAAATCCCTTTTATTCAGTTCGATATCAAATCTAGATATAGAGCTTCAAGTTTAAAAATGACAGAATTCTTTCTAAGAATTTCAATACTTTTCATCAGATGTCAGTTATTTGAGACACTGAGAAATCACAAAGGAGCTGTATAAACTGATGTTTACATCAGAGGAGGTATTTGATTTTTTGTAAGATAAGTTTTTTAACATAACATAACAATTTCGCTTTATTCCAGAAACAGTACTTGTGGTACAGTGTGGAATTTTCAGCACATATCTACAATATTGCATCTAATTTCATCGTACATTTAAAAGGAGTATTATAAAAAAATAAAATATATAAAAAAAACCAAAAAAAACCAAAAAAGAAACACAGAAATAACCAAAAAAAATGCAAATAAAAATACCAAGTAAAAAGGAAGATAAACACAAATAATGAAAAAATATTTCAGTATTGGTTAGTGGAAGCTACGATATGTGTATGCGTGGTGAACAGTAACAGCTATAATCATACGGGAAATTATGAGATGTTCTTAAAAATGTTTATAGCCAAGATGATCAGTTAATTTGATTGAACAACACTAAGCAATCATAAGATAAACATTTCAGGTTGTTTTTTTTTTATTGTCAGCACTAATGCGGTTGTTTGTAGTGGTAGTGTGAGGAATCATGCATAATACAAAATTTTTAAGATGGTGATAGTGGCAATAACAAACAAGATTGTCAGTTAAATAGTGCCGAACAAAGAACAACCACAAAACTAATGTTACATGATGGTTAATGACGGGACAATTTTTTAATAATCATAGTGATAATATAGTCGGACCCAGTAGATGTACAAAGAAGGAATAGAATAAAGAATAAAAATGTAAGCCAATGATAATAATTTTAAGCAGCTAAGTATGTTTAAGAAGGTTGTTCACTATAGAGTACAAATAAGAGAGTGTAAGGGGGAAATAACAAGGGCCAAAATTATGTTATTAACAACAAAGCAAGTCATAGGTTTCACGCTTAACATTGTCTCTGTCACTTAGAACACGGGCCAAATATGGTATCGTTGAGTTCCTATACTTGGTTGTACGAGCATATATTATTTTGTACTGATTTCTGGTTCTACCTGATGAGATGCAGGGAGAGAGTTGGGAATAGAGGGGGTGTTGGGGGTCAGAGAGTATGGTTTTAGACCATTTCTCACATGTATTCAGATGCTTATCCACTAATGTTGTGACGAGCTGACTGAGTTTTACACCGCTAGTCCTACTAACTACCTTCAACATCCTTCTCAGGATGGTATAATCCTTTTTCAGTAACCCAGGAAAGACTAACGGGGAACAGTAAAGTAGAATAGGTAGGATACGAGAGTTGACAAATTGTGAAAGCAGAGGTTGAGGGACTCCAGTTAGTCTGAGTTTCTTAATGTAGTAGGTTAGACGAAACACTTTCTTGGAAATCATTTGGATATGAGATGACCAAGTAAGGTCGGAAGATATAACTAATCCGAGGTATTTTGCATTAGACTTTGTTTCAATTATAGTCCCCTCAATTCTACAGACATCATGAGTGCTTACTAGTGTTTGTAGATCTCGTTTATGCCTAAAGGAGAAGTCGACAGTCTGGCATTTTGAGGGATTCAGCGTTAGGCCATTTAGTTTAGACCACTGACTGATGTCCGACAGGAAGCTATTTAATTTGAAGCAGTCTGACTGAGACTTAACGGGAAGCGAAACAGTCAGGTCATCTGCATATTTGACGAAGTTGATTTCGTCTGAGAGAGGTAAGTCATGTAAGAAGAAGGAAAAGAGAAACGGCGAGAGAACAGCACCCTGAGGAACACCAGCTTCAGTAAGCAAAGGAGAGGAAGCTACACCATTATATACCGTGTACTGCATCCTATTGGAGAAGTAAGAGTGCAGCCAGTTGATAGCCCAGGACTCAGTTTGTGTAAGGCTAAGCTTGTTTAACAAAAGGCCTCTAGGTACAGAGTCAAAAGCAGATGTGTAATCAAGGAAAGTACAACGGACATACTTGGCCCCTTTGTCTAAGGAGGATACAATGTTGTGATGAAACACAGCAGCAGCATCCAAAGTACTTCTACCCTGTTTGTAAGCAAACTGCTTTGGATCGTTTGAGAAGCTTAGGGAGGGAATGAGTTTTTGTAACAGTAATTTCTCCATCAGTTTCAAAAAAGGAGAGGTAATGGCAATTGGTCTAAACTTAACACTATCTCCAGAACCAGACTTGGGTACAGGGGTGATTTTAATATGTCACACAGCTATGCATTATTAACAACTGGATGGCGCTTCGAGCACAATTCATTGCTCATAATCACATCAATTTAGTCACAAAGATTCACAATTTGTCATATATATATTTTCTTTCTTTCTGTCTCTCCAATTTCCCTCTGTTATTTGTTGCCACTTTCCATATCTCCGGTATAGGCGTTGCGTCATTCCGATTGCACGTAAGCTGTGCTGAATCGATAAACAAAGCTCCAGTGATTAACCTCACTCTCTCCACCTAACTCTATTACTCTTTCATACTCTCACCCTGTCTCAAACTGTCACTGTGTGATTACATGCAAATGAATGCAGTGCAATGGTTGAGCTTTTTTCTAGATTATTTAACTTAGTAGGGTCAACCATACTAGGTTTAGCTAAACTTTTATGTGCCAAAAACCTAGTTGACCTCGGTCTATTAGTGTGACCTATGTAATTGACCTCACAGTTCTTACATGGTATTTGGTAAATTACATTATTTTTCTTAGTTAGATCTTTCAGGTCCTGAAGCCGGCAAAGGTTATATCTGAGAGACTTGGTTGGTTTAAATGCCACCCTAATCCCAGCTTTATGCAGAATCCTACGTAAGGCCTGTAACGTCCCTTCTTCATACGGCAGTATTACAGAGACTTTGAATTCTGTAATAGAACCTCAGGTGATGCATAGGCACCATTTAGTGCACTATCCCAAAACGTGAGTATTTAAGGCGAGATACCGAGGTGTTTTGAAGGTGCATTATACAATATCTAATTTGGTCATGCTCATTTTTAGTTGCTATTTGGTGAGAAATTCTATCGATTTATCATTTCCTTAGAAAACCAAAAAGTAGAATATGCTTCCTTTACAACTGTTCTACAGTTAATATAACGTATTGAAATATTTATCTTCACACATTTTGTGACCATTCTTTAAATAATTACCTCAATGTTAATCTAGTCATATTGATTAAAAACCATACCTGGTGGGTGAGCAGCTGTTAACCATTTGCGAAGATACTTTTCAGCTTTTTGTGACATAATTCTAGATAACTGACCATTGTACAATAGTTCGTCTCCACATACAAAAGGAGGGTATCTATACCTTTTATCATGTATTTTGCAGTTTTGATTCAAGTTCTCCATAGAACTAAATTTCTGTAAATTAGACAAGAAATGAGTTCAATTGAATTGAATTGCAGATATTAAGAAGAGAATTTTCCAACAAAAAAATTTCTGGTGCCATGTGAATTTAAACTGGTCTTGGTCACAGACATTTGATTTACATGTGGCTGATTATTGAGACGGTGGTTGGTCTTTACTTGAGTTTAACATACCTATACTTTATAACTTAAAATATTGCCTATGCTTGCGCAGAATAAGATGGGATTAATTTAAAATAATCTCACCGATTTAATATTTTTCATAAATCTAGTGGACATGTCGAATATCATCAATTATATGACATAATATTCTTGTATTTTAGACGTGTAACTTCGAATAGTGGTTAAATTACTTTTCAAACATCACAATTTCCAAGAAATTGACGCTTCATAGTATGGACTACTAACTAGTAAAAGTAGTGGAAAAATTAATCACATAAACCAGTGACTAAAGTTAGTGACATCAGGGTGGCATAATCACCCGACAGTCACTTTGCTCGTTGGAGAAAAACTTACAAGAAATGTATCTGAATTGATTCATTTGATCAGTTCTTGTCAGCTGAAACCAAATTCGATTTATGTTTCCAGCAAAGAATACTAATGATACAGTGTATGAGCTGACTGAATTTTTAAACTATGTGTAAATTGTAAGCATCAAAGCCATATCTTAAATTGACATTACCCATTGCACAAGACGTGACTGTAGTGGCCCAAGTAGTCTAGGGGGTAGCGCTTTGGCGTTTGGAATTACGGGCACTGGGTTCGAGACTCGGTGCGAACACCATCATTCACTGGGGAATTGAGGTACGTCCATCTGACGATTCCAAAATCGGATGAAAGTACTTCTCCTCATGTTAGATAACAAACTTATTCTGTTCAACTGTTCAAATTCCTTTTATTTCAAGTAAACTGGTGAACTGCCATCCCGGAATGAAGTGTAAAATGTGGCAGTAAACGTAAATTGTGAAATTCTTGTATCTCATATAATGGTCAAGACTCCAGAAACACTTTGTTTTAAACAGTCCTTTTGAAGAAACAAAATTTTAGCTACAAAGTCAACTAAATATATATCAAAAAGATAATCTTATTCAACGATGCATGCCAGAATGTGTGTGGTAAATTCAAGAGATTTTTGTGGATCTTCATAACTCAACGTATCATATTTATTACCTTGACAGCTTTTTTTAAGTTTTGAGTATTCTAAGGACAAAAGCGACATTTAATGATCCTTCTCACTCATAAGTTCATTCGCTGACGTCAATTTGTAAGAAAATTTGCCCTGATATTAATGAAATTTCCTCAAAATAATTAAATATTGATAAGTCCTATTAACTGAATGAATTCATCAGTAATCTTTTAAAAGTGATCTTGAGACTATCGGTTCAGATAAAATTTGGGTTGGCATATGAGCCATTACCAAAACAAATTTTTCCGTCACTTTGTTTTTCCCCTCTCTTCTAGGATAGAGAAGAGTCAGTCATTTAAAATTCGAATTTCCTAAGGTGGTTTGTGTTGTTCATGATCTTGTATACCTTTTTATTACGTGTTTAAAGCAATAGTGTAATCATTTCAAATGTTACGCTTGTCTGTCTCAAAAGTGTTTATCGATGTTTTATACGGTTGAAACGCCTGTTATGCCGTTTGTTGTATTATCTGTGAAAACACTTCGCAGTTGATTTTAGTCTCACCCTAAAGTTCTGCGTTAAATATGTAAAGGCTACTACGACTCAGAGTAGACCTCAACTCTAAACACTCTTAACAAACTTCTTCACCGTTTTACGCCCCTTAGCTGTACGCTATTCAACGTGCAAATACTGACGAACTGAATCAAGGTAAAAAGACTTGGTATGACAAGTGTATCTGGGACAATTGTATTTTACACAACGAAATATGAAATTCAATAAATAAAGAGGTTGTACAACTTATCTGCAGACGTCACTGGATAGGCTCGGAGAGTGTGCAGAGCGAAAGCACAACGAGAGAGCGAACCAATGAACGTACGGAAGAGTCACAACTCAAAAGCTCAAAAAGTGTCTCAAACCTGGGTGAGCTAGTCTAAACAAAAGTTCAAGGGTACAATGTGCACTACAAATATTTCGTACATGCTTAATTAAGAAGCAATACCGGAAAACCAACAATATTGAACATTGAATCGAGCAGAACAACCCTTTGAAACATTTAATAATCGGTAGATGAATCGAGTCACTTGTAACGTATGACAACAAACATGAAAGAAACTTTTAAAAATCGAACTGTCACTCAAAAAGCAACACTTGGTATGCTTTTAAGATTTTGACAGTTTTCATGAAAATAAATGTCATGAAATGAAATATCGTCTGGTTTCTCTTCTTTTCTAGTACGAAGTTTCTCATTTCACTAGCAGGTGGGGATAATCAGTAATTTCACTCTGAACTAACTATTCGTAATACTGTCCTCAACTAATAATTAAAGCGATTCAGTCTCGTAGAAAGGTTGAAAATGCTATTGAGCTATAAAAATACAAATATTCTAATTTAAACAAATTAACAGTCAAATAGTCTTACTTTTTTCAATAAATTTGTTTCATTCCTGTCTGTACAATCATTCTTCTTATTTAAATCATCATTCCCTTCTTCAGCATTGAGTTTAGACAGTGAAATACTCTCTGAATTATCTTTGGCAATAGCTAACTTCGCAGTTGATTTTAGTCTCACCCTAAAGTTCTGCGTTAAATATGTAAAGGCTACTACGACTCAGAGTAGACCTCAACTCTAAACACTCTTAACAAACTTCTTCACCGTTTTACGCCCCTTAGCTGTACGCTATTCAACGTGCAAATACTGACGAACTGAATCAAGGTAAAAAGACTTGGTATGACAAGTGTATCTGGGACAATTGTATTTTACACAACGAAATATGAAATTCAATAAATAAAGAGGTTGTACAACTTATCTGCAGACGTCACTGGATAGGCTCGGAGAGTGTGCAGAGCGAAAGCACAACGAGAGAGCGAACCAATGAACGTACGGAAGAGTCACAACTCAAAAGCTCAAAAAGTGTCTCAAACCTGGGTGAGCTAGTCTAAACAAAAGTTCAAGGGTACAATGTGCACTACAAATATTTCGTACATGCTTAATTAAGAAGCAATACCGGAAAACCAACAATATTGAACATTGAATCGAGCAGAACAACCCTTTGAAACATTTAATAATCGGTAGATGAATCGAGTCACTTGTAACGTATGACAACAAACATGAAAGAAACTTTTAAAAATCGAACTGTCACTCAAAAAGCAACACTTTGTATGCTTTTAAGATTTTGACAGTTTTCATGAAAATAAATGTCATGAAATGAAATATCGTCTGGTTTCTCTTCTTTTCTAGTACGAAGTTTCTCATTTCACTAGCAGGTGGGGATAATCAGTAATTTCACTCTGAACTAACTATTCGTAATACTGTCCTCAACTAATAATTAAAGCGATTCAGTCTCGTAGAAAGGTTGAAAATGCTATTGAGCTATAAAAATACAAATATTCTAATTTAAACAAATTAACAGTCAAATAGTCTTACTTTTTTCAATAAATTTGTTTCATTCCTGTCTGTACAATCATTCTTCTTATTTAAATCATCATTCCCTTCTTCAGCATTGAGTTTAGACAGTGAAATACTCTCTGAATTATCTTTGGCAATAGCTAACTTCGCAGTTGATTTTAGTCTCACCCTAAAGTTCTGCGTTAAATATGTAAAGGCTACTACGACTCAGAGTAGACCTCAACTCTAAACACTCTTAACAAACTTCTTCACCGTTTTACGCCCCTTAGCTGTACGCTATTCAACGTGCAAATACTGACGAACTGAATCAAGGTAAAAAGACTTGGTATGACAAGTGTATCTGGGACAATTGTATTTTACACAACGAAATATGAAATTCAATAAATAAAGAGGTTGTACAACTTATCTGCAGACGTCACTGGATAGGCTCGGAGAGTGTGCAGAGCGAAAGCACAACGAGAGAGCGAACCAATGAACGTACGGAAGAGTCACAACTCAAAAGCTCAAAAAGTGTCTCAAACCTGGGTGAGCTAGTCTAAACAAAAGTTCAAGGGTACAATGTGCACTACAAATATTTCGTACATGCTTAATTAAGAAGCAATACCGGAAAACCAACAATATTGAACATTGAATCGAGCAGAACAACCCTTTGAAACATTTAATAATCGGTAGATGAATCGAGTCACTTGTAACGTATGACAACAAACATGAAAGAAACTTTTAAAAATCGAACTGTCACTCAAAAAGCAACACTTGGTATGCTTTTAAGATTTTGACAGTTTTCATGAAAATAAATGTCATGAAATGAAATATCGTCTGGTTTCTCTTCTTTTCTAGTACGAAGTTTCTCATTTCACTAGCAGGTGGGGATAATCAGTAATTTCACTCTGAACTAACTATTCGTAATACTGTCCTCAACTAATAATTAAAGCGATTCAGTCTCGTAGAAAGGTTGAAAATGCTATTGAGCTATAAAAATACAAATATTCTAATTTAAACAAATTAACAGTCAAATAGTCTTACTTTTTTCAATAAATTTGTTTCATTCCTGTCTGTACAATCATTCTTCTTATTTAAATCATCATTCCCTTCTTCAGCATTGAGTTTAGACAGTGAAATACTCTCTGAATTATCTTTGGCAATAGCTAAGTACATGTATATAAGTTGGGAAAGAAAAACAAAAAAAATTTTCAAGCATTGGTTTTTGTAGGCATTTAGTTTGATTCGTTTCATCTGGAGCTGATATCAGTTAGAGAACCATTGGAAAATTGATATAAGAATAAAACTTGTGCATTGTGGTAGAGTGTAATTCCATTATGGGTAAATTTTGTTTTGATAAAGTCTCACAGTGTTATACAGTAATGTTTACTGATGACGTGATATGATTATGAGCAATAAATTGTGCTCAAAACGTCATCAGTAAACATTACTGTATAAAAGAAAAGAAGACGTTCAGCAAAGAGACTCTTTTCGGCGAATTCATTCACTGAGCTGTACAATCGCATATATATACAAATTTGTTTGTGTGCGTGTACATTAGATTTATAAAGTTTAGATAATTATGTAATGTAAGTAAAAATGTAAATAATACTTACATTACATAATTATCTAAACTTTATAAATCTAATGTACACGCACACAAACAAATTTGTATATATATGCGATTGTACAGCTCAGTGAATGAATTCGCCGAAAAGAGTCTCTTTGCTGAACGTCTTCTTTTCTTTTATATGACTGAATGGGGATTTTCAAATTACTGTATAACACTGTGAGACTTTATCAAAACAAAATTTACCCATGATGGAACCATTGGAAAACTTGGCAGTACTGGACAGATGTTTCGTCCTAGTTTGGGATTCTCCGAAGAAATTGCGAAGGGGTCGCGGTGTGTCATTGATTTCGCAGAAGTAAGAATTGATGGACTGGCCATTGGATCGAGTACCACTGGTTTAATGGAACGCGAGCTAGCTCGCGTTGTAACCAGAAGGTCCTCGATTTGATCTCTGGTGGGGATGTAATTATGAAGGGTCCCAAAATAGGAAGAAACAACTGTCCAGTACTCCCAGGTTTTCCAATGGTTCTCTAAATGATATCATCCCACGAATATATATATATATATATATATATATATATATATATATATATATATAAGAAACGTGGTTGTATATATGATTAGATTAATATCAACATCTAAAATTACAGTGTTGCTTAACATAAAAGAATACAGAAATAACTATAAGGGTGGTAATATCTACCTATGAAGATTACCATCCTAATATTCACTGAATTGTGAAATAATGTTAAGAAATTAGATGACACTTACACAAAGATAAATAAACAAATGCCATCTTACATAAGAAAAGAACGTGAAAGACGATGAAAATTAAAGCTATTGAAAAAAATACAATTTAAAAGCCCACAAATATATAAACTACCAAACTGCATTCCAGTTAAAAGTGAAGATGCTTAGCATGGGTGAACATAACTTTGATAGAAAATCAGTGTATCAAAGAAGTACTGATATTCCTACGGTTAAATACACAAATCCCTGCTTATATCACTACAGTGCATAGGGAAAATATCCATCTTCAAACCTTCATATTTATTTACACTCTGATTCGGCTGACAAGATGCAAATACAACTTAGTACACAATGTGGAAAATTAGTGTAACAAATATCCAATGAATTATTCAGAGACTCACATTCTTTCAAATTGTCATTGATCTGTTTTGTTAGGAGCGATGGAGGAATAGTCCACTTCATGAAAACCTAATAACAAAGTGAAGTAATTTCGATTCCTTCATTCACCATAAAATGTATAAGTGTACAGTAACAAACAATGTCTGAAGTTCTTCAAAAATATAAAGTGACTTTTATTAAAAGTGAAGTACAAAGTAAACTCAGTACTTGTGAAATTGAACTGAGAAAATGGAAAGATATCAATGACGTGTGGATCATTGAGATCTGTTTTAATCACATTACGGATGAGAGAAAGTTTGCATCCTGCTGATAATTTCCAAGATCCTATCACGAAAAAAAGTAGAACTGCCTCCTATGTAAGACAAAGCAATCGTCCGTGGGATAGTGCACACACACACAGACACATTATGCCTTATTTTCACTAAAGTGTGGATCAATTAAAAAAGGAGTCAAATTTAGGCATTAAAAGCTAAAATCACATCAAGAGCTACTAAATTTCTTTGGTAACACCAAATGCTACATTACAACATCCCACAGAAATAAGACAACAATGTATATCTCCTCCTGAGTGAGCTGGGAGTAGAGCTCAAGTTGAATTCTAACCAAATACTGATCGAATCAACGATTAAGACGAAATCAAGAATAACCACAAATGAATGCAAAATATTCATCTCCAAGAGAAGCAGCCAATAAGTCGCATTTCCTCATCGCTTGAGTAACACCAGGTATGGTAATACTCCTAACGGAATTGCTTCTTCATCTAAAACTACTACTTGAAGTAATAATCGACCACAGTATCGAAGTATGTCATTGTGTAACCGTTCCTCAAATGCATCTCCTTCAACAGATCAACACACCTAACTCATAGAGACGGCTTTTATATCGAGGGTTAGTGTGATCTCCCCATTACGACTAGACTTCTTTCTACACTACACAATTCTCTCTATCATTATTGTGCAAGAGTGAAGAAGCAGAAAAATGCATTTCTGAAGTTTGGTTGGATTCATCGAAATCCACGGATAACCACAGGGATAGTGAGAGATGGTACAGGTCATGGGCTTGTTGTTGTAGCTCCGCTGATATCTCTAGTGCGTGATTAATAGCTTATATTGCTGTGTATGCACTGGAATTCATCCAGATAAATACCTGATCGATTATCTAGAGATTATCCAGTGTTTGAAATGCCCTTGAAACCAAAAATCTATTTTGTAATTCAATCAACTGATTATTTGCAAAGTGCACAGTTCGAGGTGGAATTGTATAACAAATTTCATTTGGAAATACATATTTCCCTCATCACAGTATTCATCCGAGTTGATGAAATCAGCGTCATCAAGCAAACTAGTAACATAAAGGGCAATATGCATACAATATTCATATAAATCTGTGGCCTGTATCAACTCTCTCTGTATTCTCCCTATTGACACGGTAGGATAATCTTGTCTATAATAAGTTCATCGCTATGAATTAGTACTGTTACTCCCAGAACGTTCAGAAGAGAGTTACTCCAAGTTTGCATGTGTAGATGTTTTCGTGAATATCGTTGCGTATCTGATTTAATTTTTAACTACTTTATTTGTAAGACGGATACACGCACTGGAGAATAGGATGATTTCGTCATCTTCCCAATTAAATATCGTTGTGGAGAATGTAAAATCTATTGCACGATGCCAAGCGGTATGCTATGCGTTTAAGCAAGAGGTAGGGATGGATTGAAAGGAACACCTCTGTTAATTCATTTACTGAATCATCAGTGTGGAAATCCATAGTCAAGCTTACATGATATTTCATCTTGAGGTGTTGTATGTTACAGCTGTCTTACGATATATATAGCTAGTTGTATAGATGCAATTCTCAGCATTAAGGTGTGATTTCAGGCTTCAGAAACAATATTTTCAGATAGAACGTTGAGAGCTGCATAAGTATCAGTCTCTTTGTTATTCAATCATATTTCGCATAACATTAGGTGGTGTGGCATTCTATTAAAAGTTCTAACAAACATTACATTCTCTTTACTAATAATAAAGAAGTTGTACTCACCGTTTCGTCAGCCTTTGTTTTTAATGCTTTCAGCTAAATTATAATGAAAAAGTGGCAATTGAATAATTATAGTAAACATAATGAACTCTTAAATTATTTCATCCATCAGTCTACAGTTATATATAGTAATCTGAAACACTTCAAATTACTCCAGTATACTAATAATATCGCATAACATACTCTGTGAGTGAGTAAACTCACATAATAGCAGTCGCGTGATTTGTTGAAAACGATACCTGATTACTAGTCTGAATAGTTACACTGACTGCCTCAGTCATCAGTGTTTGTTGACACTGATGGTGCGCCGACAATCATGAAAGGTACGACCATAAACACCTGCCAACTTATGTCTTACATATAATGCTGTGTCAATTCACCTACCGAACACATTGTACACATGACTAACAGATCCTAATCAACATACAACAGAAAAAACAACTAGATTGGGAGGCATTCAGAGACAGACATTCGTGGGAAAGGGAAAATCCTTCAGGGGGTTAGGCGTCAAATGAACAACTAAATGATATAATCCTCAAAATCGTAGCCGGGTGATGTAAGCTTCAACCTGAGTCAGGGCATGAGTTGCTTCAATACTACAAGAAGTGTGATTCCTAATCCGAAATAAATCCCCTTACCCACTGACTCATACCCTATGAAACTAAATGAACAAATCCAACGGCAGGTGTTCTATAGTGGGAGATTAAGCTGGGAGAACAACTCCATTGTATAATAAGTCAGTCGATGCAAAACCCCAGAAATCGAATTTATGAATTGATTAATATGTGTCAGACTATGTTGTTCATACGTTTTTATAACAAGAATACGGAAATTAAAAATGTCAATACTATTTACATTCCTGAATATATAATCCTACTTATTGTAAATTATGAAATTGTATGTGTTGGAGTTTCACTGACAGACAGACTATCAACATTTCAAAGGGAGTTAGTTAATCAAACATCTTACCATTTGACTTTATTTCGATTCTCAATATGCGAGTTTTCGCTACTGCCTCTTATATGGTTATACTTACCTATGACTTCACGTGATACGGTTATTGCATCAAATCTTCTATTGATCATAGCATAGATTTGCACTTATTCAACCAATTGTAGGCATGATAACAAACTCACATTACTATCACCTGTTGAATATCTTGTGTAAATTGAAAGCTTTGTGCTTGTCTGATAACAGATAATCAATAAAAGCTGTTAAGATATCCGGCTAGCACAATAAGTCTGCATAAATACTATTGTTCATCATTCAAATGTCAACGAACTGGTTTATTTGTAACGCAACTCTGCACTTTCCTTTATTCTGACAACAAACAAATGGCATTGACTTTGGAAAGATTTGCTGAACTCAATCTGTATTGTTTACAATTTGATATATACGGTGGATTTTACACTATTTACACCTATTCCGCAAACAGACTGACTCCAAAAGACGGTCCCAAAATGAGGAATACTGTATCGTTTTAAATGAGGTTGTCGGTGACTCACATTGATTTGAAATACCGGTTATCTGCTTTGACACACACAGAATTCTGTAGGTAGCACTCATTAGTCCCATACTGAAATATCCAATGCATTATATATCCTGATCAACATTTTATTGTTTTATCGAATGTTTGCCTCTTCTATGGTTCAAACAAGCTTGCTAAAATTTTGCACGCTAAACAGCAAAATTCGATTTCGTATATGTGTAAATGTATTATGATTGGATTATTTTAGTTTAAAATCCAACTTCTTCTGAGTCACTTGGGTTGTATACTGTGTATTGAATGAAACAACATTTGGTTGTCATTATTCTCATGGATATTGTTTTTGTCTGAATATTAACTGAAAATCCCGAAAATTACTTTGCATCGGTCTTCTTGTAACCATCGTTTTTTATGTATAACAATGAGTTTAGCAGTTACCTCAAGTATTTGCATATTCATTTGTTCTTGTTGTTATAGTAAAAGTTAATTCCTCCTTACTGGGTTTGAATTTCATACCAATACAAGCTTCTTTTTTGACTTCCAGTTGTCACTTTCTTTTATGCTGTCTGATAACAAATAGTTCACCAGCTTTTGGGACTTTAGTAGTTTAAAGACTAGAGGATACTCTCTTCTTAACTTCTTACCGAATCTGTACACGTAAACAGTGTTTGAATAAGGCAGTAGAAAATAGAGAGAGAGGTAAAACACTAAAGTTATTTGATAGCAAGACATGCTGAATTAGACATAAAAAAACAATTCAGTAATTTATGAAGTGGTCTCATGTAATCACAGTACTAATATCACAGTGTGGAATTTTCTGCATTGAGTACAATATTGCATTTAACTATAACAAATAACATCAAAAATAATTATAAAGATATTACAGGACTGTTAATGGTGGTTCATATTTGGAATATTTAGTTACAGCGAAGTCTTATACCACAAGGATTGTTAATAATATTTGTAAAGTAAGTAGCTAAAATTGTCAGTTGACTGCGATAGTGTCACGACAGACTACAAATAATAGATAAAAAATAGCCAATAATTTTGATAACAACGTAGAAATTCATAAGTTTGACGATTCAAATTCTCTCTGTCCCTTAGCATACGGGCAAATACGTATCGTTGAGTTCGTACGCTTGGCAGTATGAGTATATAATATTTAGGGCTGACTTTAGTTTTACCAGAGGAGATACAACGGGAGACTTGAGAGAAGAAGGCGTGCTGAGGGTAAAACAGTATACATTTAGACATTTGCTGACACGAGTTTAGGTGTCTATCAAGTGATACGGTGACAAGCAGACTAAGTTGCACAAAAAATGTCCAAGATGGTTTCTAAAATTGAAAAAATTCAGGGATAATACATTTAAATGTATATGAAATCGAATTTTGCTGTTTAGCGTGCAAAATTTTAGCAAGCTTGTTTGAACCATAGAAGAGGCAAACATTCGATAAAACAATAAAATGTTGATCAGGATATATAATGCATTGGATATTTCAGTATGGGACTAATGAGTGCTACCTACAGAATTCTGTGTGTGTCAAAGCAGATAACCGGTATTTCAAACCAATGTGAGTCACCGACAACCTCATTTAAAACGATACAGTATTCCTCATTTTGGGACCGTCTTTTGGAGTCAGTCTGTTTGCGGAATAGGTATAAATAGTGTAAAATCCACCGTATATATCAAATTGTAAACAATACAGATTGAGTTCAGCAAATCTTTCCAAAGTCAATGCCATTTGTTTGTTGTCAGAATAAAGGAAAGTGCAGAGTTGCGTTACAAATAAACCAGTTCGTTGACATTTGAATGATGAACAATAGTATTTATGCAGACTTATTGTGCTAGCCGGATATCTTAACAGCTTTTATTGATTATCTGTTATCAGACAAGCACAAAGCTTTCAATTTACACAAGATATTCAACAGGTGATAGTAATGTGAGTTTGTTATCATGCCTACAATTGGTTGAATAAGTGCAAATCTATGCTATGATCAATAGAAGATTTGATGCAATAACCGTATCACGTGAAGTCATAGGTAAGTATAACCATATAAGAGGCAGTAGCGAAAACTCGCATATTGAGAATCGAAATAAAGTCAAATGGTAAGATGTTTGATTAACTAACTCCCTTTGAAATGTTGATAGTCTGTCTGTCAGTGAAACTCCAACACATACAATTTCATAATTTACAATAAGTAGGATTATATATTCAGGAATGTAAATAGTATTGACATTTTTAATTTCCGTATTCTTGTTATAAAAACGTATGAACAACATAGTCTGACACATATTAATCAATTCATAAATTCGATTTCTGGGGTTTTGCATCGACTGACTTATTATACAATGGAGTTGTTCTCCCAGCTTAATCTCCCACTATAGAACACCTGCCGTTGGATTTGTTCATTTAGTTTCATAGGGTATGAGTCAGTGGGTAAGGGGATTTATTTCGGATTAGGAATCACACTTCTTGTAGTATTGAAGCAACTCATGCCCTGACTCAGGTTGAAGCTTACATCACCCGGCTACGATTTTGAGGATTATATCATTTAGTTGTTCATTTGACGCCTAACCCCCTGAAGGATTTTCCCTTTCCCACGAATGTCTGTCTCTGAATGCCTCCCAATCTAGTTGTTTTTTCTGTTGTATGTTGATTAGGATCTGTTAGTCATGTGTACAATGTGTTCGGTAGGTGAATTGACACAGCATTATATGTAAGACATAAGTTGGCAGGTGTTTATGGTCGTACCTTTCATGATTGTCGGCGCACCATCAGTGTCAACAAACACTGATGACTGAGGCAGTCAGTGTAACTATTCAGACTAGTAATCAGGTATCGTTTTCAACAAATCACGCGACTGCTATTATGTGAGTTTACTCACTCACAGAGTATGTTATGCGATATTATTAGTATACTGGAGTAATTTGAAGTGTTTCAGATTACTATATATAACTGTAGACTGATGGATGAAATAATTTAAGAGTTCATTATGTTTACTATAATTATTCAATTGCCACTTTTTCATTATAATTTAGCTGAAAGCATTAAAAACAAAGGCTGACGAAACGGTGAGTACAACTTCTTTATTATTAGTAAAGAGAATGTAATATTTGTTAGAACTTTTAATAGAATGCCACACCACCTAATGTTATGCGAAATATGATTGAATAACAAAGAGACTGATACTTATGCAGCTCTCAACGTTCTACCTGAAAATATTGTTTCTGAAGCCTGAAATCACACCTTAATGCTGAGAATTGCATCTATACAACTAGCTATATATATCGTAAGACAGCTGTAACATACAACACCTCAAGATGAAATATCATGTAAGCTTGACTATGGATTTCCACACTGATGATTCAGTAAATGAATTAACAGAGGTGTTCCTTTCAATCCATCCCTGCCTCTTGCTTAAACGCATAGCATACCGCTTGGCATCGTGCAATAGATTTTACATTCTCCACAACGATATTTAATTGGGAAGATGACGAAATCATCCTATTCTCCAGTGCGTGTATCCGTCTTACAAATAAAGTAGTTAAAAATTAAATCAGATACGCAACGATATTCACGAAAACATCTACACATGCAAACTTGGAGTAACTCTCTTCTGAACGTTCTGGGAGTAACAGTACTAATTCATAGCGATGAACTTATTATAGACAAGATTATCCTACCGTGTCAATAGGGAGAATACAGAGAGAGTTGATACAGGCCACAGATTTATATGAATATTGTATGCATATTGCCCTTTATGTTACTAGTTTGCTTGATGACGCTGATTTCATCAACTCGGATGAATACTGTGATGAGGGAAATATGTATTTCCAAATGAAATTTGTTATACAATTCCACCTCGAACTGTGCACTTTGCAAATAATCAGTTGATTGAATTACAAAATAGATTTTTGGTTTCAAGGGCATTTCAAACACTGGATAATCTCTAGATAATCGATCAGGTATTTATCTGGATGAATTCCAGTGCATACACAGCAATATAAGCTATTAATCACGCACTAGAGATATCAGCGGAGCTACAACAACAAGCCCATGACCTGTACCATCTCTCACTATCCCTGTGGTTATCCGTGGATTTCGATGAATCCAACCAAACTTCAGAAATGCATTTTTCTGCTTCTTCACTCTTGCACAATAATGATAGAGAGAATTGTGTAGTGTAGAAAGAAGTCTAGTCGTAATGGGGAGATCACACTAACCCTCAATATAAAAGCCGTCTCTATGAGTTAGGTGTGTTGATCTGTTGAAGGAGATGCATTTGAGGAACGGTTACACAATGACATACTTCGATACTGTGGTCGATTATTACTTCAAGTAGTAGTTTTAGATGAAGAAGCAATTCCGTTAGGAGTATTACCATACCTGGTGTTACTCAAGCGATGAGGAAATGCGACTTATTGGCTGCTTCTCTTGGAGATGAATATTTTGCATTCATTTGTGGTTATTCTTGATTTCGTCTTAATCGTTGATTCGATCAGTATTTGGTTGGAATTCAACTTGAGCTCTACTCCCAGCTCACTCAGGAGGAGATATACATTGTTGTCTTATTTCTGTGGGATGTTGTAATGTAGCATTTGGTGTTACCAAAGAAATTTAGTAGCTCTTGATGTGATTTTAGCTTTTAATGCCTAAATTTGACTCCTTTTTTAATTGATCCACACTTTAGTGAAAATAAGGCATAATGTGTCTGTGTGTGTGTGCACTATCCCACGGACGATTGCTTTGTCTTACATAGGAGGCAGTTCTACTTTTTTTCGTGATAGGATCTTGGAAATTATCAGCAGGATGCAAACTTTCTCTCATCCGTAATGTGATTAAAACAGATCTCAATGATCCACACGTCATTGATATCTTTCCATTTTCTCAGTTCAGTTTCACAAGTACTGAGTTTACTTTGTACTTCACTTTTAATAAAAGTCACTTTATATTTTTGAAGAACTTCAGACATTGTTTGTTACTGTACACTTATACATTTTATGGTGAATGAAGGAATCAAAATTACTTCACTTTGTTATTAGGTTTTCATGAAGTGGACTATTCCTCCATCGCTCCTAACAAAACAGATCAATGACAATTTGAAAGAATGTGAGTCTCTGAATAATTCATTGGATATTTGTTACACTAATTTTCCACATTGTGTACTAAGTTGTATTTGCATCTTGTCAGCCGAATCAGAGTGTAAATAAATATGAAGGTTTGAAGATGGATATTTTCCCTATGCACTGTAGTGATATAAGCAGGGATTTGTGTATTTAACCGTAGGAATATCAGTACTTCTTTGATACACTGATTTTCTATCAAAGTTATGTTCACCCATGCTAAGCATCTTCACTTTTGATTTGGATGTACTCTGCATGGATAAGTCTTCATAGCCTTCTTTATTGACTTTTTTATTGGTTGTAAAATGTATCGATTCTATGTTTTAATTGCATGTAATATATCAATATCTTATTTATCTCTCAGTACGCGTCACCTAATAATCCTAACATTATTTGGTAATGGAATGAAGATCAGGATGGTCAACGTCATAGGCAGAAATTACTACGCTTATAGTTATTTCAATATCCTTGTATGTTAAGCAACACTTTTATTTTACATTTTGATACTTATAGATTCATATATACAACCGATTTTGTGTTATATATATATATATATTCGTGGGATGATATCATTTAGAGAACCATTAGAAAACCTGGGAGTACTGGATAGATATGTCATCCTAGTTCGGGACGCTGACAGAAATGACACACATCCAAACATCAAGTTCTCCATGGAACGTGAACAAAATAATGAGTTCAATATCCTGGATCTAAATGTAGATAGAACAAACGAAGGCATGTTCGAAATGTCCATCTATAGAAAATAAACCAGGACTGGACAATATCTTCACTATATCAGCTTTTGTCCTATAAGCTATAAACGTGGATTAGTGAGAACTTTGTAGGACAGAGCCAGGAAGCTATGTTCACCAAACAAGGTCGAAGGAGAATTAAATTTTGTCGAGAAATGCCTAAGAGAAAATGGATACCCTAAGGGATTTATACAGAAGTATAGCAGAGAAAAAGATAAGGAAGAAAAATACCCAACTGTAGAAAAGAAAAAAGTGTTTAGTTGTCTCCCATTCAAAGGAGATACAGTGTCACAAAAGATTGACAAAAGACTGAAAGGTGAAATAAAAAGAATCTTCCCGGCAGCAAAACTCATAACAGTATACAGGATCACTCCTTCTCTAAGCCACTCAAAACTGGATAAATACCCTGCTGATGTCACCTCCAACTGCTTTTATGAATTTACGTACAATTTCGGGAGCAAGTACATTGGAAGGACGGAAAGAAGTGTTTCTATCAGGTTTTCTGAACATATTCCAACAAACCTGTGCCTGAAAGGAAGCAGATATTCCCAGAATCCAATTACCAGACACATTGTTGATACCGGACATCTCGTAGAGAATTCTAAGTCCTTCAAAATATTAAATAGACAAAAGACAGCAAATTTACTACGATTTGCAGAAGCGATCTCAATCAAACGACTTAAACCAGACTGCGTCGGTGACACAGTGGTTAGGACTCTCGCCGACCATTCACATGGTTCGATCCCCTGCCGACGCACTCCTGATATCTATGGTAGGCCTGCAAAATTTGGGCTACCTATATCCATGCTGAAAATTTCATACTTGTACCAAAAATACAGTGTGGAATCAAGCTGTAATCAAAAATCTTAAAAATAAAATAATTATGCATACAGAAAGAGAGCGTGATTATCTTCTCACTCCCTTGGTAACAGAATTTTGATTTTGATTAGTCATGTAATTCAATGATCTCAACTCACTGAACAGATCTTAATCTCATAAACTGTAATCACTTTTGTTTTTTAGTTGCTATGTGAACCTACAAGCTAACACTGTTCTGTTAGTCAATTTTTCTGTTTTCTGTCTTACTCCTCCCCCTTCTTTTCAACTTTAAAAGCGTATAAATCGATGATGAAAACTTAAACTAAAAAACTATAATGGTTTCATTTTGGATGCGTCAATTTTATAGTACCTTTTCTCTACCACCACTCGAACATTAAAGTATGTTATTATCATCTATATAACAATTGTAATTTCAGGTAGTCTGCAGCTGATGAGAACCTGTGAAATAGAATGATATCATTTTATACTGCAAATTTCGTCTTCCTTTCATTATCGAAATTTATCAAGAGTACTAACTGTATAAAGTTATGTTCACCCAAGCGAAACGTTTTGACGCTGACTTAAAGGTCAGCGTCAACGTTGAGCGTTGCATTGACAAATCTTCATAGCATCACTGTTATTGCTGTTGGTGATATTTCTGGATGAGTTGCAGCTGACGGCTGTTTCAGGAGTCCTTTGAAGTTGGTAACCCATTGTTTTGTTTGTGTGGCCTATTTGGTAATCAGGTCCTCTTGAACATCTTTTATTGGTTTCATCATCTGAGTTGATTTCTTTCCGGATAACGCGTAAGATGGTTATCTGATATAATGTTCTGAGATCTCTTTTACCTGTCTGTTCGGCTTTAGTTGCCTGTCAGTGTGTCGTAGAATTGTCTTTTGTCTCTCCTAGCACTATTCTTCACCTTTTTATGCAATGCAGTGTATATTGAACTCAGCTCGTCCTTCTGTTAACCATCTCTGCATGGGGTCATCCTCTGTTTCACCATCGTCCTCTCTTCTATCATCAGCCCGCAGGTGTCCGTAGATAGCTATTCCTTGTCTCGCCTCTTATTTCTTCTGAAAACGGCCAAACACGTCTCCTTGAACATTTCCTTCAGAGAGTTAGTTACAACGCTATTATATGCAGGTTTGCTCATTGATAACACGTAGTCTCTGAGACTTTGCTCTGATCTGTAGTGAAGGTATCCATTATAGTTTTCTCTTTCATTTTCTGAATGTTGAACTTGAAATGTGGCATGTCTGCGATTGATCTGAAGGCTTTCACCATTGCAATTAATAGTGTTCTTTGAGCCGGTTGGTTGGCTTTCACCTTGACTCTGATGACCTGAGCCCATTTCTGCTCCCATTCTCAGCTTCGTGTCCATCAGGCTAACTGCATCTTCAGTTCCTTGGAGAGAATTGAGATGAAATCTATCTGGTTCGTGGTGTGTCCGTCAGGCGAAATCCATGTTGCTTTGCGTATATCCTTGTGCTTGGATACGCTTTCTCCGATTACCAAAACATTGAAAGAGCAGAAGTCTGTGAATAATCCCCCGTTCTCATTCATTTCTCCAAGAGCCTATCGTCTAGCTAACTAGCTTGCTAGTTTTCTAGCTGGTGTAAAATGGTAGGGTCGAACGACTCCACAAACATTAAAGCTATCAAACTACTAGAGAAACTTCAACGCACAAAAGATATGCTTATTTGGTTAGTTTTTATTCGCGTTTCTGGGTTTCGGTTGGAGGATTTCACCATGAGCTGATAACAATTAAAGAACTATTGGAAAACCTGGGAGTACTAGACAGTCCCAGTTTGGGACTCTTCATCACTATGCACCCACCAGAGTTCAAACCCAGCACCTTCTGGCCAGAATGCGAGCTTGCTCATAGCCTATTAAGCCACTGGGACCTCATCCAATGACCAGCCCATGAATTCTGACTCCCACCAGTTCATTCTGGATTTTGTTGACTTTGTAATTAAACGACTATAAGAGGCAAGAAAGTATAAACTATGATTGAACAAGTTCACAGCTGACATTTACTCGGATTTCAGGCATCACTAAGGTATATGATAATAGGTAGTTTTTCGCCGATGTGCTCATATGATTAAAGGCACCTATTACTGAGTGATTGCATACAGTATATTTTCACCTGTTGCAGTACTGGTGCCTAAAAGTGGCTTAAAAGCCAGGAAAATCAGTTTTCATTGGATGACGCTTGCAGTTGAACCAACGCAAAATATAGCATTGGATACCCAACTTGCACACGAGTAAGTTGGAAGCAACTTTATCTCAGGTCATGGTTACACCGCATTAAAGAGCTTTGTCTGCAAATCAAATCAGTAATTCGCAAATTAATTTACAATTTATACAGTTCTCTTTCGAAACCAAAATTATTTAGATCACAATATCTGACCTGCATGATACCGTGACAAGAAACCAGGCATCCTAGCATAAAACTACATACTACTGATTGACTGAGATGAGTAGTTGTGTACCACACACATCAACCAGTAGTTCTTGCTAGCTAGATTGACGAGCGTTTCACTCGTTCGGCGCCAAACTCATCAGTTCAAACCACCCGGATTCCGGTTGAAAACTTAAACTAGAAAGCACTACTGGCTCATATGAATGGGATACAACTACTTATCCCGATCAAGCAGTAGTGCATAGCATGCATTCATGCTTTATCTATACACCTATTTTTGAATTCCTTGTTTTGTTGGCTATCTGTAATCATTTGTCTACACCAGGAAACTGTCACCAAAAATTGCGTCAGGTTACGAACGAAATACAATCTCTGCTGGTCAAATGGTTAGTAACAAAATGAACAACAACTGGACATCACTAACATCAACGTTTCTGAGCACATGAAGCTCTTTGCCACTGAATTCGCGCACTAAGGAACAGAAACGCGGTATTACATTTTACGAGAAGCTAATATATAGAAAGAATATCGTTGACACAGACTGAAAATATATGAAGACTCAAAAAGTAGAGCTGCCACTATATACAGTGTTCAACTAAATTCGCATTCGATAAACGTTAACACTTGAGATATTACATGCTTATAATGAAATCTGTAGCCTACAGAAAGATTTAATTCTATCGAATATTTGAGTATTAGCGATTCGATTCACTAGAACTATTCTCAGACTAATGCAATTTTCTTACGAAACCCATATGACACCGATAACGAGAGTTTTAATTGGTGGATTGACTGAATAATATGAGAACAACCAGATATCAGAAATCATAGTTTGAGCATAGTTTATTATTATTTTCAGCGCAAAGCAAAGTCAAAGGTGGAAAATAAACCAACCACACTTCGGAGAGAAAAAAAACAAAGGAGCTGAAACTGTTGCGGATCCAGATTAATTATATGAATGAATACACAGGAAAATGTTTTTAAGTAAAAATTACAAAGCCTAGTTCCTCGAAAAAAACAAAAAAACAGACATATTACCAAATAAAGAGTCCAAAGACAAATAAATAATGACATCACAATCTGAATATAGGTATACTGATTTATAATACTACAATAAAGAAACCGCAATATCCGACCACAGGCTCATTACAGAAATCGAATATAAAAGTACGTAAACACAGCTAGCAAAAGAATGCAAAACAATACATATTTCACGTAAGCTGACTGCAAATTGAGAGCAGAGGCATCCTGACGGTATTTCTTTGACATTGAAGACAAATTGGATGCTCGAGCATCGAGGGCTATAAAATTAACAAATTTAGATACACATAAGTGAGAAATTAGCAAACTTAACAGACAATACAAACATTTAATTTATTTCACAATGCTGTGTTTAGGTGAATCCGATAATCACGTTAGATACCATCGATGTGATAGCAGTTATGCCAAAAAAAATCATTCAATCATAGAACAGTGACATATTTTCACCACAGAAATTCACATATTGATTCCATGAAATCTCCACATAGCGCTGTTTGTTAAAATAAAAATGAAAACTACGAAATAAAGTCAGCGAACGTTTGTAACGAGAAAATCTGTCTTTTTGACTGTATCTCACTAAACCAATATTATCCTTTCAAAAGTTTGAACAGATTAAGAGTAAGTACAACGATCAGAGTTGTTATAAACATTTGTTGTTAAAGAAGAGGAATGACTGACATAAAAACAAAAATAGCTGGAAGTTTTTTTTAAACTGTTATTTACAACTAGGTTACCGATTTCTTTTTCAAACATAACAAACCGAACTCCATTTCATCAGGTTTCTCAAACTAGATTCCAAAGAGCTTAAGGAATAATCAAATATGCCTGAACAACATATTTTCATGAAGCAAGTAATTGTTTTGTATTGAGCTTCGAATACTAGACTGTAGTACTAGTACTTAAGCAAACGAAAAATGAAATGATCGTCTAATTTGACGGAATTCCATTGTAACAGTTATATATCATGTGGGTGGTGTAGGCGAAATAGTGATACTTGAATACAATACACGTATTATCAGTTGACTGTTACAATGACACACTGAAAGTCAAAAGAAATCTGTCGTCATCTTGAATGTTCACTTTCGGACTAACTGCGGTTTGTATCTCGATTAGCAGATTTTTCATTCACTGCTGCCGAAAGTGCTGTACCACTCACTAATTAAGAGCATCTATTTAGATAGAATACATTCTACTTGCCTATACATCATTGGGTTTTCAGCCAAAATGGTTACTGAACATTTTCACCAGAAATTTTTCACCATCCCAGTTTTCGGATATCACTGAAAATACTTAGAAAGTTAGATTGACCCTACTAACCAAATCACTTGTATTGTATATCAGAGATTATCCCATTCGCAACATATTAAACATAACTAAAAGGCATACACCACCCACGCTACTAATGAATCAACAGCGCAAACACTACCCGAAGTTCGAAATCCCCATAAAGTTACATTGAGAAAAGGGTTTCATCGAAAACTTATCCCCTTCAACAACATCCTTTTCAAGATGTACAATCCCATGTAATTCGCAAATTTTCTTAGCAACAAAAGGAGTGTTTTCAAAGATGTGTCATTAGGATTGTAAATTTCACATGACAATTACGTTATACAGAAGACGTTAGTCGGATAGAAACCAAAATAAAACAAGACAAGTAAATTGCGTGACACACTACAATTTATGGAATTGACTAAAACTAGATTTGAAGGAGTCAAGTTGAGAACGATGATAATTAGAGTAGAAATGTAATATTTAGGGAAAGAAAAGGCAGGAAAATACTATAGTTAAAAAACAAAAAAGTTACGTATTCAGTGTTTAGAAAGATCAAGTCCAATGTACGTTCAGTGACTGAACGAAATTTTTCTATATGCAGAGTATGGGATTTAACAAGTGGATTACCATCGCTTCATTGGTTTGAAGAAGTTTGATTCGTACTCCCTTAGCAAGATTCCCACGTATTCTGTAGATGACTTTGAAGTTGGTTAGCAGGTTCGCTTGGTGTCCATAGTCCATCAAGTATTCCATAATACAGGTGCAGAGGGATCTTATTTATCCACTATAAAACCATGAGGGTAAGTGTTTGATGATACTTTTGGATAGCCAACGCTGAGTACGGCCAATATACTTATCTGCACAGGAGCAGGTGAATTGATTGATCTACACCGATGAGGCCAGCAGTGGGAGCTTATCTTCCACATTCATGAGAATCATTTGTTTTGTAGGGGAAGTGATTTGAAGTTCAGCTGTAAAGAGGGGTTTCTTCAATGACTAGGACAGCCGGTTTCTTAGAACTTCCGTTGATTAGCCTCCATTAAATTGAAGATTCAGATGCAGAAGTCACTTAAAGGCAGTGATTATATGAGGTTTTAGTGATGTAGGCTTCAAGGATCTTGTGGTGAAGGTTTCGGGCTAACCATTTTCAATGATAATCCTTTTCAAAATGTTCAGCTTCTCTTCCATAGTATCGGGGCTACACATGTTGCGGATTTTGTAACTTGATGGATGGATCAAGTTTCGTTTCGTGTAAGAAGGTACCTAACTTAAAAGTTTCAGAGTTGTCCGAAAAAGTTATTCATTCTACTTACACTTTAAGCGATACAATGGTTCGTTCGTTGAAAATATCATCAGTCTTCTATTCCGTACTTTATCTTTTCATTTCATCCCAAAAGCTCTTTGTTCCTAATAAGTAATGTCCTGTTTTCTTTAGTGAATCTTCGAATACTCATTACTTTGAAGCATATATTTGCAACAACTGTATCATCCTTGATGTTCATCGTCAGTCCTCTTAGGGAATTACTGAATAAAACTATTCTTCATGAAGGCATCATGATGAATGGACAATTAACTTTACAATTTCTGGCATAAATATCATCCCTTTGGATTACATATTCAGCAATCTACAGAACTCTAACCCATACCCTAAAATTACTTTTTATCTATAACCTAGACAATTGCATCAGTAATGAGAAAGCATGAAACTCCTCATTTACCTGTATGCTATGGTATTCACACGTTCTGATATACGACTATGCACGATCATGCTAATCAGAATGAACACAATACTTTTTGAAAAATCTCCTTTTTAGTCTTTTCTGACGATTCCTTAGCTAGTGCACTATATTTTTCGCAGGCGAAATATCTGCCACATCTGCTGCCTTATATTGAGAAGCCAATAACTTCTGTTCATCAAATATTGATTTTCTTCCAATGATTACATCTGTTGATTCCAGAGCATACGGTCATTCCTATTAATGCCTTACTTATTCCGTTTAGCTTGGCAACATCAACGATTTGTACAGTTAACTGTCTGCAACCGGTGAGCAACAATACATAAAGTTTTGGAGCTAAAATCCGCCCTTCGTACTAATCATTTAGAGTATGGAATGTTTGGCAAAGAATTATCAGCAAAAAAAACCAACATATATTAACCTCTTTGTTGCCTTATTCCTTTATTTAAATGCTGCTATATTTTTGACTGGCGGGAACTGACGAGGACATCAAAGCCAGAATCGGAAAAGCAAGACAAGCTTTCATTACTCTCAAATCTGTGTGGAGGTCAACAGCATTCAGCATCAAAAATAAGATCCGGATTTTCAACTCCAATGTGAAGTCAGTGCTACTATACGGATCAGAGACTTGGCGAGTCATAAAGAGCATCTCAAACAAACTTCAAACCTTCATTAACAACTGTCTCCGCTCAATACCTCAAGATCAGATGGCCAGAAAAGATCAGCAACAGGGATCTCTGGGAGCGAACCAATCAGTAACCGATTGTGAAACAAATAGGCAGAAAGAAATGGAGATGGATTGGCCATACGCTGAGGAAACCAACAAGTGACATCACTAGACAAGCCCTCGAGTGGAACCCGAAAGGGAGGCGGCGAGTTGGTCGTCCAAGGGTGACTTGGAGGAGGTCATGTGAAGAGGAGATGAAAGCATGTGGGCAGACCTGGAGCAGGGTGAAAAAGTTGTCAAAAAACCGAAGTCAATGGAGGTGCGCAGCTGAAGCCCTATGTTCCTCTAGGAACTAAAGGATACAATAATAAATAATAATAATAATATTTTTGACTGTGTTAATCAGAAATTCATTTTCCTTGTGTAACCAGTCTTCAAGTTGTTATATATCGCCCAATCGTTCCCTCCTACCAACTCCCACTAGCACCATCACTTTACCAGCCGGAAACCCACTAACTTCAATATCACTTAGGATTTCCTCAGGACACTATTGAAACATTATGCAACAGTGCCTATGCTTGATTACAGGCAGTGGTACTTCATTGAAAATACTGACTCGAAGAATTTCGTCGTTTCAAAGACATAGTAAAATAGCCCTCTACCGATAACTAACCAAATCAATCTTATATGCAAACAAGAGGACTCTTCAAGGGTCAACGAGTGCTAGATAAAGTCAGTGAGAAAGGAGAACTTTTTGCAAACCGAAGCATTCAATGGTTTTGTGATTGGAGGCAGCGTGTAGAAGCACAGGAAAATGTGGGTTTCACCGGAATGGCACACTAAAAACCACAGATTTTATCTCACTCTCAGGAAATTGGAAACGCAGCATGCTGGATGCAAAGTCGGGAAGAGGGTCAAATGTAGGGTTAGATCAATATCTAGTGGGACAAACCTTCAAAACAAAATTGAAAGCCTGCAAACAAACTGAAAATAGACCACGATTTAGGTTCAACACCCGAAAATTGAAGGATGAAGTCACATAGGACACAGGAATCACCAGGGAAAAGTTGGAAACTAAGGAACATCACCAAGAGAGATACTAGGACTTTCTGAAAGTGACATGGAACGAAACCTGTATAAACATGTTAGACAAGAAAGCGACAAGATAAGCAGTGACTCACTAAGAACATATAGAAGGTGATAGAGGAGAGGAGGGTGGTGAAGCAGAAAATGAACAACGAAAGAAGCTGTGTATAATCTACAGTGAACTGGACAAAAGAGTAGAGAGTGCCGAGAAAGACAAGAGACGCTTTTAAGACACATTGGCTACCGAAGCAGAACAGCCCGTAAGAGACCTCACAACACATATCAAATAGCCAGGTTGTTATCCAGGAAGAGATCAACATGTATGAAGCCAGTAATATTGAGGGGAACCCAATTACCAAACAGGCAGGATAGAGGAAACACTCACCTTATCAATTCAAAGCAGCTGTGAATCGACCATCACGTACAACTCGTTCAGAAATACCACCAGCAGATACCAACTCTTCAACAGAAGCAGAAACCTTGAAGACCATGTAGTTATTGAAAGCCACGGAAGCAGCAGAACCAGACTGGATAGCCCCAGAATTGAAGACAGCCCCGGAGACCTTGGAAAACACGCCCACACCACTACTGCAGATGTTGAAGGGAAGGTGTCTATCGGCGACTAGAAGAGTAGATACATTGTCAAACTACCGTAGGGCAATTAAAGTGTATATGAGAACTGGTACTACCCTAAACAAAATAATAAGTTGCGTCATTCTTGAGACTAGGAGATGTACCTTGCCCTAAACAGCCTGAACTCAAGAAAAACAAGTCATGTACTTATCAGATCTCAACATTATAAGCATCATAGAAAACAGCTAAGAACAATAGTCAACTACCTACCCTAACTTCAACTTCGAAAAACCTTTAACAATGTCGACTGTGAATATAGTAACCAACTGAACAATACGTAGTACATTAGTGCAAAAATTAACAAACCTAATCAATACCTACATGATGGTACCACATGTCAAATAATTCACGAAGGATAGCTAAGCGAAGCGTCTGAAGAGAATATAGAAGTAAAACAAGACTGACTACTATCCCTGATGATATTCTTAACTGTGGTGGACCATATCATATAACAAACTTTGGGGAGTGGCAAAACGGGAGTATATTAAACTGATAAAAGGACCCTAGAAGATTTAGTTTTCACGAATGATTTATGCTTCAAGTCGTACACACTTAAAGATTCACAAGCGACAAAGAACAGCGTGACAGAAGAGGTAACGAAGACAGGATTTTAAGCCAACACAGAGAAGAAAGGGGCGAAGAAGACACCCCAACAACAACAAGCACCATTTACCACAAATGGAAGTCGTCTCTTTCAATTACCTAGGCAGACAGTTTCAACTACAGATGAAAAAGATGAGTGTCAAGGTCAACCAGGATCGGAGCAGCAAGACAAACATTCATCACTGAAATCAGTGTGGGAACATACACCATACAAGACAAGGATCCAAATTATCAACAGTGACGTGCCTCTTTGTGGTCACCGAAAGCATTTTCAACATTTTGCAGACATCCATAAATAGATCGCTTCGCTGGCTCGATATCGAAGATCAAACAGCCTGCCAAAAATGATAAGCAACAAGTGACTCTGAAATAGAACCAGTCAGGAACCTTTACCCAACAAATATGCGGAAAATAGAGATAGACTGGACATACGCTGAAGAGATTTTTAGTGGACATTATATATGCTAGACATTCAAGTGAAACGGGGAACGATGAGTTAGGTGTGGATCCCAGGCTGACATGGAGATCATGTGAAACGGATATGAAAGCTTGTGGACAGTCATGGAGCCATGGGAAAATGACGGGAGGGAATATAGTAAAGTGGATACACGCAGCTGAAACCCTGTTTTTCATTTGAAACAAAAAGAATAATACTAGTGGGAATGTAATTAGTGATAGCTTCAGATCCTAAAAATACCGTCACCCATCTTCCACATAAATACTCAAATTGTATAAGTTTTTTCCACTTGAATAACTTTGGTCAATCAAGTGCATAAGAATGACAATATGTGATGATGCATTACGTAAGAACAAACTTCGAGATCTGGACTTACTTGAGAGAGCTTCACCGCGTTGTAAAACATCGTCGATGTTCTGTACCATGATTCTTTGGACATCCTGTAACGCAACATTTAGTTGGTTGAGATTTGATGACCGGCTGTCACTGTAAGTCTTCTGAGTCTTGTGTATGACATGATCTAACAAAATGAATAAACTAGGAAGAAAGTAATGTTACCAAACTCAAGGAATGCATATGGCCGTGATACTGTCTGAACTTGCTGAGAGTATTTACCGTAAAATTCTGCTTGAATGGCTTCTAGAAAAGCAAAAGCTTTCGTCCGATTGAATTGAGAGTCCGTAAGGATAATGTAGCAAACGCCTCGGTCTAGCAGGTAATGAAACAAGTAGGGACCAGCAATGAGAGAACATCTTGAAGGAGAGGTGGGAGTCATGCGACATACGAGTGCTTTGGCCTGATTTTGATATTGGAAGACCTCCCGGCTCAGCTACAGTATAAAAAAATAGGAATTTCACTTTTCCATTAACAATGCTGTTTCTTGAAAAAAAATTCTGCTTATAAGACGATAACTAATGACTTTCCTTAGGGGGTGCGATTTTATAGCAGCATAATTATTAACACAAGCTACATTTGTGCATATTTTGCACGCATTATTTGCTGATGATACTCAATTTGTTTTCCTTAATTCTGTACTAACAGAACAATACCTAATCCTCTAAAATAACAATACTAACTGCACCTTGGTGAATCTAAGATCCGAACTGAATACCAAACTGGATAAATCTCAATAGGAAAGCAGACAGACTGCAAGTATTCATCGTAAAACTTCAATCGAGTTGCTTCTCTGAATATTTTTACCAATTGTGACCAAGTGATTCAGTGAATGGGAGATGTTTTAGAAACTTCATGCATTCATTCCCCTTTTATGAACTGGAATAAGGCAATAACAGTTTGTGCATAATTAGATGGTACCATCATTTTTTCGTTAGTGTCTTAGCTGCTTAAAGCCTAAATAGATTATTAAGTGCATGTACAGAAAAATTTTAACATGCAATATTAAATGGTGTCAGTTGACAGAAGGTGCCAAACTTGGTGAATCCAGGGAGTCCGAGTTTAAGCCAAATTAAGATATACATATAGTGGTAGAGTAGTTGCGTTATGAAGACGAAAGATGCGCATGATGATGTGGTTATTAGATTGGGTAACAGTGTATTAAGCTCAACTCAAGCCATAGAAAAGTGACAAGCAAAATTACACTATATCTAAGGAGGTGAGGTTAGTGCCAAGGATTGTGATCAATTGAAAGAGAGTAAAGACATCCAGTTACCAGGTCAAGGAAAAACTGCTAACTGCTTCTTCATGACCACATAAATTTGGTTTTAGGAGTGATATAAATAGCCTTGGCTGATTTGGGCCTTTTTGTCCAATGAAAATTTCAAAGAATTTTACGATTTCCACTTCAGGACACGCATCAATGGGATGCTTGATTATGGCACTAATGGGAGCACTTGTTCAAATGTTTCTGCAGTAGTTACAATAGAACATAAAGAAGGGAACACCTTTGATCTTTTGAACACGTGCCGAAAAGCCTGCATTTCAAGAGAACAAGTGCTTCCAACACTGCCGAAAATAATAACGAAATTGAGTAGTTAGGTGTACCATGGGATATGTGCCACAGCATGAATGCGCCTCCTTTGTTACTGCTAACATCAAAGGGACAGTATTAAATAGTTAATGAGTAAAAAAGATTGTTATGAAGAGCGAACGTCTTACCTTATCATCTTCCTGAATAGTCGCAGCCAGCGGAAGGCCGTCAGCCACCCTAGCGATAAGGGTAAGGTATATCATGAATAGTTGATTCCCAGCACAGAAAGTGTTTGGAGATGAAGTGTCTGTGTAACGTCACTGTTAAGCAGTTAAAGCTGAACACAAAAATATAATAAAATATTGCTACCTGTAACTATGAAACGCATCCTCCACAGAAAAACAACACCCTACACGTGTAACGCCAACAACCTTATCAAAGGTCAGATACCTAATTGACTTAACACTAAACCGACTTAAACAAAATCTCGACTCAAACTCGGCAACGTTAATCGTAGAAGCAACCTATCTGTTTATGCCATCATCATCGTTTCCTGAAGTCGAAAGCTGTCTCAGATTTCGGGTGACCAATTTGATGTATTATTTGTCTCCTTTCTCAGCAGGTTAAATGCTTCGGGTGTTACTGTATATACTCTTTCGTCTAGATACTGAGTATCTTGCATAACCACTGACATCCTAATATTCTTAAGTCTTCTAAAATAATTCTTAGTTCGTTATTAAGTCTGATGGATCGAAATTCAAACCTTTTTCGGAACTGGAAATGACCCGAAGACAGAGAAGTGGAAGTTTCAGGAGTAATTCGGTTTCATTCAACTCTTCGACGGACGAAAATGGTGCTTAAGCGAACAGCGATGACACTGACACTTGGCTGAATAATTCGTGCAGATCCAGGAAATATATAGAATTTAAAGTCATATAGATGGCTGAGTTCAAGTATCATATAGTACAAAATGTATCCATGTTTGAATAATCAGGATGAAAACTAAGACATTTACCAAGAACGTATTTTGAGTACAGTAAATGCGGACATTCAATGTGTTGTACTTTCGTTCCAATATTTTGTAAATTAGATTTCGGAAATCGCTGATTTCAAGGTGACCAGCCATGATAACTTAGATGACCACTAAAATAATTTTTGGAGTTTTCACAGGTTGAGGCCTTCATCGTCTTTCATTTAGCAGTCAGAACCGGCCACCGAACTTTAGGAAACTAGGAAATGCCTTTAGACAGAATAACTGTCAAACAGACCGAGGAAGACGGTTTGCAATGTAAGTGCAGCAAGCCATGGTCAGATTTGGCCTCTAATTCAACATTAGCTGAAAATTCGAAGTCATTCCAGTACTGTGACTGCGAAAAACACCAGGTTTCTGATTTCAGGAAGCCATAGTTCCTTAACATACTAATTGGAAGGCAACCTGCAAATAATATAGGCTAACAAAAGTGAGATTTTTTTGGCAAGCTCATTATCTCTGGTGAACTGGTAGAGTCTCTACAACACAGGTTGCTGTGGTCACTCATAGTTATGGAATATGAGAGTTGCCAAGTGGCACCACAAAATTCCTGTGATTTGTGAGTTTAAGCTTACCTAGTGAAAGGGGAATGCTATTCTGTTTGACTAGGATACCCCCGATTTACTACGTCACTACAGCATTTTCAGAATATACGTTCAAAACTGAAGTAAGTTTGCAATAATAATAATATACTCTCATTTTTGTACATGAGGGACGCCAGATTACAGGCACCACCAATATGATAAATTACATATACGATTAGTAAGCATATTTAGTAATGACAATATAATATATATAATATACATAATGATAATATAATAAGTTACATATTTGTTCCTACCTTTGTAGGGTACACCAGTATACAGGCATGGATAAGTATTATTTAAATTGCATAAGTTTGGTTTATAGTTAAATTACATGGCTGCTGTCGTTTTTGTCTTTGGTTTGTGGGAACAAAGTGACAGCTAGTCACTCAACGGAGCACATCAAGAAATATAGAAATGCTTTCTTTGCATTAACAAATAAACTCAAATATGCGATAGTGTCAGCTGTCCGTCGGTGACATGGGTAATTACTTTCATAGAAACGTCGGTTTCTAAAATATAAGCACAGTATCGTCTAACATCAATGACAAGGATACTTACGGCGGATCTTCCGGTAGATTTTTGCTGGCTGTCACCAGAATCGCGAGACGGACGAGAGCATTATGTTTAGATTGATGAATCATAAGCTGTATGCTCACATATTATATGTCATTAGGGCTAATTGTACACAGTAAATACCATACAGCAGCGGTTTTTGAGCTATTTATTAAAAACAATCAACCTTTAGCAGAGGGTTACCGATAACGTGTATAGTCTATTCAACAATGAGAAATAAATCTGCGATTACGGAATTCGAAGTATCTGGACGGTCATCTCTGTGTGAAATATGTCCTTTATTATCTGGATGGTCCTGTAACCTTTTGTGAATATGATGGACGATGAATGCAGTTTGGCTTGTTTCACTTGTATTCTGCAGTGATCTGGAAATTCAAGTCCAAACTTCACGGCTGCTTTTTTAAACTTACGCGTTAGTGGTTGGTAATTTGGGTAACTCAATGGATAGGAGAGTCACCAGCCAATAGGAACAGTAGACTACGTCAAAAGAGTCAACAATAAGCCATCAACGATTCCGTCCCTAAAATGATTCTGGGGTTATGATTCAAAATTTGACAAAAATCTACGTAATTATATCCAGGACTACGCAGAGGATCCTGGCAAAATATGTTACACATTCGTGACGTACGACGAAGACCGGTGTTATTGAGATTACTCGTCTCCAAGTAACTCCAAACATGGAGGTTAGAAGATAGTGTCTGAAAGAATCCATAGGTTGTGACCGAATCTAATAAGCGGCAGTCAGACAATGTGTTCTATGTAATCCACGGGTACGGCGTTTGAGCGCCGATAGGGGAATACCAGCTAATGATGGATTAGAGGCAGGCTATTTTTTCTCGCTTGTTTTTGAAAGGGGGAAATGATAGAATCCGAAGAGCTTTGGATGAGAAGATTTAGTGCCTACAATGTCGAGGTATGTGTAATGCCCGCCGGATTATCGTAGCTTTCCACCTGGTGCTATCAGTTTTCTGGCAGTGCAGAATATAGGGACGTGGTACTGAGATCAGAATGGGCCGTCTACATCCTCTTTTTGGACTTTGAAAAAGCCTTCAACTTGGTGCTCCATGACGTCCTGCTCTGTACTACCTCCGAGACGGCTATTCGCAAACCGCTTTGATTTTAGATTGGAGCCAGCCTGTCGAGCAAAGAATTTTGTGCAAAGTCGAACTAAGTATTCAGTACATGCGGATAGGCTATCGTTAGGATATCACATGGATCAGTTTGAAGCACGCAGCTGTTAGTCCTCTTTATAAGCAATTTACTAAATAACCTGAGCTCTGTAATATACATTCACGCAGACGATGTAAAGCAAAAAACGACTGATGGAGAATCTATCGCGTTGCAGGTAAAACAACCTGCTGGAATGGATCACAGAAAACACTTTGGATTTACTTTTTTAATAAATGTAGAAGTGCTCGTTCGTACATCAGTTGAACGAATATTTTTATAAGTAGAAACTGTGCCATCGGGACTGCTACTAGCAGAAACAAGATACAACCAATATCTATGCAAAAGACGGAGCCGAAGCCAATACAGAGGTCTGCATCATGCATGAACATTTAGTAGCAAATACAAATTGTACAAAACACATGCACGGTGCCGTCCAGAGGTTCACAATACACAGCACATGCACTTTAGAAAGAATTTCGAGTCTCGTAGAAATACGCAGAAAGGCTACTAGAGCCGTCACCTGATCGAAATGCTGGCGGCAGCCAAATTTGTTTGCCCACGGACACTGCAAAGACACTGGCGAACTCATCATGTCATACCGAAGGTTGCATAGATTTTGCATTTGATCGGATATATTACCACGAGAGCTGTGTGTAAGCACTTGAAGTATCCTTAGTGGAATAGCTCATCATGAAACAGCAAGAAAAGTACCGTCTTAATTCTTTTCTGTTAACGTCTGTCACATGTAGAAATCACTGCTCCTCTGGAAGGTAATCTATTCATAAGATGGTAGCTTGTATAAGTTTGTTATTACGCGAAAATGAGAGATCAGCGTGCAGCCATAGGCGAAATAAACTAGTCGCAGTGGGCTGTGCTGTTAGAGAAAACATTCGACATGGTTTTATACTATCACCATTCAATGCAGTGTTACTATTACATCTGTATCGGTCTCCTCTTTTTTCTCACTTTATATATATATATATATATATGTTGTCGCTGTCACACCTGTTACCCCATTGCCTTGCATTAAATACAACAGGGCTGAAAGATTTGAAGTTACAGACTGTACTAGAGTCTTCTCAAACCCAGGAACAGTGCGAAGCACTGAGGAAACGCAAAGAAACCAAACAATACATACAAATCTGTCAAAATTGTTTTTGATGTTCAGCTACTTATGCAAGAAGTTGTATAATCTGCAATACTCTATTTTTGTAAATTTATTTTCTTTCCTCAAATGCATATACTTCGATATCTACCAAATCCATACTCAGTCACTATTTGAGTTGCCACAACTGAGTTTTGTTAGAATCTGTCCCACTTGAAGGTGACATGAGTGCTATAATAAGCGGTATATCTGTTAGAATGCGCTACCGTGTGGTAACTTTCTGTCATTGTTGTCCGTTACACGTAAGATTAGTTCCTTACCATTAGTTGTTAATTCTTACGATTGTCTTCATATAAATTTTTTCATATCTTTTAATCCTGATAAAGTTGTTATTTGTGAGTTGAGAGACGTTATCACTTCATGATGCATATATATGCATGACTAAATGTTGAAAACTTGCGCATTTCATGCTTGGTTTGCGAAAAATAGGAGCTTTGTCGCTTGTCAACTCTGAAATGGCGCACTGCCTATCTGGTTTTGAATACATACATCCCTAATCTCCATTACACGAAATTACTGATATGTTTTACTGGTGTTCATATCTGTGCACCTTGTTTGAAAACAACAATATAAGTATCAATGTCTCGCCTTTGTATACCACTGACTATGGTTCTGGGAGTTTTCATAGTTTGAAGGATGATGTAAAGAAATCAAAGCGGATAAAAAAGTGTGGTAAAGTAAAAATGGAGTATAAGTGCATCTACGCAACTGTGGGTTATTCTTTGCCATTTCACTTTAGATTTTTTAGCATGGTTTTGATTGTGCTGATCCTAGACATTCAGCGGAACTGAGACTGACAGTTAATCAATTGATAAAGTGGGACTACTAGTTATTTTTGTAACACCTATACTAGTGGTTCGCTGACGTAACTGGTGAGAGGACATTTATATATTATGTGTACATTCAGTGAAACGGTGTTTTCCTAATTTATACTTCCATTGTATAAGACTGTAGGGTTAAATAATACAACTATTGGCTTACTTAGGACTGCTATTACACGTCATTTGTGTCATAAGCGACGTAATTAATTTTAAGCCACTTTCATGGACTTTAAGCATTCAACTCCTATATCGTGAACATCATAGAACAGCAATTTATTTTAATGGCTCCAAATCGTCCAAATAACAGTAAACCAATCCATAATCCTTACTTTGTCAGCATATAAATTACTTACGTTCGGCATTTTACGTAGGGTTTCGCTGCCATAGTTGAATTCGGAAACCTGACTCACTGCATTTACAGTTCAAGTGTTTGTGTTTAGAAGATTTGTACTACGCTCCATTTTAATGTGAAATTTGTAAAAAGATTGATTCACTATGGAATAAAAGCAGGCAAGATTATCACTGACTGACGGCATCTCTGTAGGCAGCTGGGAAACTTGATGCACGCATTTTTTTCCCTGAGTGGTAGAAAAGACTACTATTAGACGGCTAACAGTAACTGTTACAACCACGTGATAAATAAATATGTCACTTTGGTTAGAAACATGTCCTTTATTTTCGAATATGATGAAAGTAGATCAAAATAATATTTCTCTTTTTGTTTAAAGCCTCTATAATCTGGTCATACCCGTTTGCTGACAGTTTCACCAGCTCCTGTTTGTTTTCAGGTGGCGCTTCCGACTCGTGGCGATTCTAGTAGAGTATTTCAGAGAAGCTAACTGATGGGAAAGATAGGGTATATTCTGATAGGCCCTAGATATATATAAGAGTTTGTTTGTAATCGATACACATTCTCCTCTATGATACTCAAATGCTACTGTTTCAATACCAAGCAGATGAAAAGTGAGCATCATGAGATCTGAACAAGTAACTTAGTCATGGTGCATAAAGAGGAGAATGGGAATTTTTATCAATTAAATTCAGGTGAACGTTTACCAATTTAATTTTGGTGGTAAAGAAAAAAGTGCTACACTGCGGTTGCCATTAATTTTGAACCTCTGATTGGCATCATTTAGTGAACCCCAAGTATATATTCGGGATGTGCCAAAAGATACCAGTTCAACACATCCGATTCATAATAAGTCTCCTAGCTTCTGCAACAGAGCGATGGTTGATTGGTCTAGGTGTTTGACTGTTAACCAGTGGATCAGAGGTTCGAACCCTGCCCTCCCACTGGAGTTTGGACAGACATGTAGTTAAGGAGCCCTCACAAAATAGGTGTGTCTCATTGACAACTGCTCGGAATCGCAAGTGGTTATAGAGTAAGGCTTTTGTTCTTTCATTTGGTTTCTGCCAGATATTATTAGGATTAACGGGACATCGAAGCTCAAGCCACCAAATCTGATGTCCCATGGTGGCATCACACATAGGCAGATGACTTGTGCATTTGTAAACATTTGTCATCATATTGTTTTGCAGATATTAACGGAAAAGTTGGCGATTTTTTAGAGATATGAATCAGCTGTTGAGAACTTTGTGAGTTGGGTTTAGCTCCTGGATTTATTATCATTAGCTTCTACCTAACTTGTTTCATTTTAAGTAATTTTAGATTCTAGGGTGGGTGACTAAATATAAAATATAACGGTTTTCTGAACCATATCATAAAGTGAATCTTTTTATAAAATTTCGACCGGTTTAGTTTTTTCTGATTTCCACCACATATGACCTTTAAAGATGATGTGTGAAAACTGTCTGTATAATTGTCCTAACTTCGTTTCACAATCGTGTGTCAGTATGGAATACACTACTGCACATATTCGGTCTTCCGGATGTATTCATGTATAACACGTGGAGCATTCGTAAAATAATTCAAATAAGGCTTTTTCTGATTGTGTCTACTTTCTCAGTGAGTACTAACTCATTGGTAAGTGCATAATTCAGTACACCAAATCTGTGGACTCACCATTATCAAGGAGATTATTCGTGTTAAGCAATCTAGAGACCTACTCTGTGTAGGTCATCTGGTAGATTATTTAACTTACAGTTATGTGCGTGCACTGAGTCATACTTTGAAGTCACTTATGTGATCGGTTTCCGCTAAGGTTCAACGCTGTTAGTAATGTGTTTGTTTTGGGGATAAAAGGTAAGCAAATTGTGAATAACTGAAAGATTATTTGACTGAATCAAAATGTTCTACCCGTCATTTGGATAACCACTACGAGTGCATTGTCAGTATATATGTATATATATATATATATAAATCAGTATCACATGAAGTCAGGTCGTGGTTGTATGTTTAGCAGTGGTTTAGCTGGAATCTGTTCCTCGTGTTTTATTTTGTTGAGTGTTTATGGGCTGGATGTATCTGTATTCCCATGTTTTGACAACATCATCACTGGCAGTCTAGCGGTAACTTCATAGCTTCTAAATATATAGCTAAAATTATCGTTCTATGTTATGAATATTTATGCGTAGTTTTATTACACTTGTTTTTAAACATTATCCTGTTTTTACTTAGTAGGATTTAAAAGGCCTAATCGCATATGTCTGAACAGTCCATGAGACAGCGTTTTCTCAGTCTTCCAGCTGAACAGAAGTTAAAATTAGACAGAGTGCCTTCTCCTCACTCACATTTAACACCTGTTCCAAGTTTACCTTCAATTGCGATTCTTGAAATCAATGATACTTCAGTGACTGTCACAGCTGATGATCTAGAGGATACAGGTGTTTTAGGTGAGTTCATTGCATTTTTCTTATATGATATCATAAACAAACTGCAGTCAAGGCTCGTTACGACCTTTTCAGCTCTAATGGAATTACCATTTACAGCAATATGTGTTGTAATCTGATACTCCTAAATTCACTCCCTATATGAAATGATGTTTAGTTATCGATGGAAATAGCATTCGGTTATTTTGTCTGCGAAATTCCATCATATTCAGTTACTCAAATTTAAACTCACTAATTAAAAGAGTTGATATGGGAAAGCTCGGCCTACTAATAGTCGATTTTTGAAATTTGAATATTCATGTCATCAACGAATAAGACATCAAGTTTTGTTTAATTTTCTAGCCAAAGAAGACTAGACAGTTTGCAGTTTTGAACCCGCCTTGATTCGTGCGTTTAATGCGCGTAGGCCACACTAATCCACATGTTTCTTCGTCGCGTGACTTTTATTAAAGATGTAGGTCGATCAGAGTTAAGGTTATTTGAAAGATGAGTCTACTTTATGAATTAGACTTATTAAAGAACCCGAAATGCGCTGTAGTTTTGATGATAAAAACGGGTGATTAGCTATCTAAGGTGGTATGACTTACGAAATATTATTAAGAACTTTAATTTTCTGTTGTCGCTTAGTTGATCCAACTATTCTATTCATCATGTTAACTCCTTTGTTTTTAGAGTTTTTATCATAAGTTAAGCGAAATGCAAGCAGTGTTCTTTGAATCTTTCTGGTCATTTTGTCTATTTCAATCTCTGAAATTGCGAAACTGTCAAAATACGTAGTGTCTAAGAAATGCCTAATATTTCTGTAGAGAAACGTAATATCTACTGCACAGCGACTGATAGCAACAGGTTTTAAGATATAAGTTAAAAATCTCAATACTCCTTACAGGCTTCTTTGAATTTCACCATTTCAAAGGTAATCCGTTATGTAAAGTGTTCAGTTTCTAGTCAGTGCATTCCTGGTTTAAAATTCCCTCCTCCTACTTTGTCATGGGAAACTCGGCAATATTATTACTTGCGCCACAATAAGTGCAGCTCATTGTCTAGTACACAAAGAGTTTGCACTTCATGAGTGAATTGTATCACTATTTGTTCATTACAATGATGTAGGTAGAGTTTAAACTAGTGAGAAGCTTGAAAATGCCACAAAGTATCTATCCATTGCTTTCAAGTATTTTCTAGGCAGTCTATGACAGAAACTGCCTTCAAAATACACACTTTTTATCTGAAGAAGTGTTAATTGTTAGTGTTTTTCAGCTGAGCTGAACATCTGTAAAATCAGGATTGAGATTAATGCAAAGTTTTCCACTTCCCATGAGCTATTTAATCGAGTGTGTCCTGTTTACGAGGAGAAGAAAAACTAAGGCTTAGAATGTGGTAGGAGCATACACTTCTGAATATATTCCATTTACACAAAAATTAGTGTTGCTACATTTTTACTTGTGTACTATGCTGAATTAAATTGTCACTTTTGAATCTGGTATTATTTTAACTCGGTGCCGAATAAAACCAGTATTATTTTGTTTGGAGCTTGATTTAATGTATGCAGAGAAATCGTACACCAGATTTTCAGGTCTCTATAGGGACAGAGTCACATAAGTAACATCTTAAAAGGTAATTACTAACTACCACTGAATATAGAATTTTTATAATTCTTGAATGTGACGCAAATAATTGCTATGAATTACACTATAGTAACAAACTTCTGTTTTGCATTTTTAATTACAATTTAATCATCTGCCTTCACTGACTCAGAATAAAGTTCTTTTAGATTTTTTTTCTGTTTAGATGATAGTTACATTTTAGTGGTAATGTCAATTAACTATAAACTTTAAAAAAAATATTTCTTGAATACTTTCTTTCACTAGGTGAAGGATTTTTTGGACGTGTTTTTAAAATGCGTTTAAAATCCACGAAAGATTCATTTGCAGTTAAAAAGATACCATTTTGCAATTTGGATCCGCATAATCCTGATATGATAGCAGATTTAGAAATTGGCAAACTACATCCGCATCCATTTTTATTACGATCGTATTGTGCTTTCACTCATGGAGATGCTGTTTGGATTCTATTAGAACTCATGGATATTTCACTTGACGTACTTCTAAATAAAGTAAATTCTTATTTTATAGTATTAATTTATATATTCGAGTATATTCAATGTTATTTTATAAATAAAAGCTATTATACGATGTGATTTCGTGAGTACAAGGCGTATAGTGTGTGAATAGATATGACTGTCAAAAGTAAATGTGCAATGACGGCGGGGGGGGGGCTTTGTTATGCTACTAGTTTGACTAAAGTCACGTAGTGTTCAATGCTGTATGAAGAAGCTGAATTAGTTGATGACTATGCAAACGATAATTCACCCCCTTTCCAAAACAGCAGTTTTAACTCATCTAGAATTTAGTTTTAAAACTATAAAAACGCTTAAACTGAAAGTGGTACTACCTTGTAAATTCTTCGATTGTTGATATGAACCATGTAGGTTAGTGTATGTTGTCTAGCTAAGATTATTATTATATTATTGGTCCCTTGGGTTCCTAGTCGAACATAGGGCTTCAACTGTACGTCTCCACTTGCTTCTGTCTTCTGCTGTACTTTTCACCTGCATCCATGTTAGTCCATATTGTCTCAAATTCTCTTCACATGATCTCCTACATGTCACCCTTAGACGTCGCACTCGCCGCTTTCTTTTCGGGTTCCACTCGAGGGCCTGGCGCGCAGTGTCACACAGCAGCCTCCTCAAATTGCTAAGATCCTCATAGCTAAAATCATTCACAATGATTCAGATATGATCAAGTGTTCTTGTTGACAAAATTTCGATTATTCGCACTAATATTCCTTGAATTACTACCTTTTTCTCAAGACACATATTTATCTATTCAAATAGCGAATTGATTCGAAGTTAACCTGCTTGTATATTCATATAGATGCATTATCGATGACTAATTCACAGTTTGAAGTTGGTAAATTTTTCAAAGTTTGTTGTAGCCCTAGTGTTGTGCAATTTCTAGCATTGATAAAACTGATGAGTGGAACTTTTAAATAAGTGCAGACTGTATATATAACGCACAGAGTATCTTTATTTTTTGCATTCTGAACCAATATTTAATGACTGTAGTTTGTGACAGTCATTTGATACTTTTCAGTATACTACTTTACCAGAGTTGCGTCGCTGACACAGCCGTAAAATGCACATCAACCACGCATTTGGTCCGGGGTTCGACCCCTGGCCGACGTACTCCTTTACCTCGCTAAACCAGTAATAAGACTGGTAGAAAGGGAAGGTTGGACATGAGGTAAGTAACCCCATCCCGTAAAAGTGAAAGCTACTGCTACCGAAACTTCAAGCCTCTAGCTTGAAGCCCTATGTCCAACGGAGAACATACCAGAGAATGGTTGATTATTTTGAAGTCACATACTGCTTAGACATCGTCATCACTATTTTTCTGTGACATTCTGATTCTTCCTAAAATATCCTAAACTAAAAAATTTCCTTTTGACATTTTATTCGTTGTGAGTACTTATCAGTAAAAGCATGATCGCCTATTTATTGTTGACTATCGAAAAAAACAATGTAATAGAGAAATTATCTGCCTAAACTGTATGTTAATGTTTACTGACTACTGAATATTCTTATGTCATACTATTTATGAGAAATATCTGTGAAACAAAACACCCAGCAACTCGGCCACTTTTTTTGAACTTATTTGATGACTGATAGTTTTTCAAAAAAAATTGTTTTTCTCATTCCTCATGAGTTTTTCGAAATACAAATCTCACTCATTTCTCCCCAGGGCAAAGGAGTGAATACATTTTGTATTATTAATTAATTAATTACTTGTGATTACAAGTTGACATGGGTGCGTTGCTGGTTTAGTAGTAAAATGCCCGCCCAACCACACACGTAGCCTGGGGTTCAGTTCTCGGCTGACGTACTCTTAGACGTTACCTAGTTTGCTAACTGGCAATAAGTCTTGGTAAGAGAAAAAGCTGGCTCTAAGGCTAGCAATCTCACCCAGTTAAAACAACACCATGACTGGTGAAAAAAAAGACTTCAAGCATGGAGGAGCCATATGTTCCACCTAGAACTCAAGGGAATAAAAAAGGTTGACAATTCATTTTCAACTAGCTGGTCCAGGGATTGATTCTCTACGCGTCTATTCTAGCCTTTGGCGCTGGATAGTTTTTACATGATATGGCTCATAGTGTGGTGCGTAAAATTCCATTTGAGCAACCGAATTCAAACTTATGTAAGGTTTAAAACTTTTAGCATTTCAACTCTTTATCGTAGAAAACTCGCTTTCCAGGATTTTATATTTATATTGACCTAATTAACTGAAACATTTTAAGGTAAAGTTATTTTTTAAAAACTCCTACCATGTTTTGTCTGTGACAAGTTTATATTTCGTGATTACTGAATGATTTAGTTAAGTTTCTTTTATAGGGTACTGGTAATGCTTAATATTAGATAAATTCTATTATCTTTACATTCACCAATCTGTAATGTAGCTTAATGTGACATATTAATGATGAGGTGAACCTGTTTTCTGAAAACTCAATAATGTGTCATTATATTTTAAAAAAAAGACATATTTCCACGTGATGTGTGTGACAGTGATCTGTCTGTTAGACATTATAAAGCCGCTCGTAACAGTCTTTTATTTTACACAAGTAGTTCAAGGTTAATACTCTAGCAGTCGGCACACATACATTTTTTCTAACCTGTAAAAATGAGCGTAAAATGGAATATTTAGATATAAGTAGATTTGGTTACGGAATCATGTGAAGAGTTTTTCAAACAAACTAATTGAGGTCATTTATAACAAAGACGTTACTGTAGATATTAATTAATATGGAGGTGAAATACGTGCCCTAGAGGTTCAGCCTCGTTTAACAGTATCATACTTTAGCAATTAGGTGATACGGGACACCATATAAATATATCGGAATATTCCAAGGTGGTAAACAAACAGAGTACTTTGACCAGTTTGAATTAACTAAGCTGTTACTGTCTGATGAGCGAAATTCAAATTACCTGTCGAAAAAAAGGATTATTAAAAATTCATTATTACGTTGGTAAGCATTGACTTCTTCTCTTGACCTCTTCCAATCTTCATTCTATTTTTATGATATAACTTGATATTCACCTTTATTTATTTGCATATCGGTCTATGCATCTTTCGGAGACATGCTTATTGATCTAGGTATTCGATTTTGAATTCGTGGATAGCGTATTTGAATCCTGGATTATTCACTAAGTTTTAGACAGTAGTAAGGCAGTATCATTACCCGCTTCCCCTTGACAGCTGTAACTAAGTTGGATTATGTTTTAATTGTGTCTGTCATAGTGATTGTTATTTCAAGTGATTTGATATACTAAAACACTGTCGTTGAAATAAAATGCACACACTACCATGTAGAAATTGACCTACTACAAATGCAGTGAATATTTTTGAGAGAGTTTGGCTTCCGCTATCACATTAATTATTTACTCACATATTTGTTTTTAGTATAATTCAATTCAATACGGTGATCATGTAGGCGTAAAAATGTGACTAAATTGTCGTTCCTTTACCGAATTTTCACTCCTAGGTAATAATGAAATGATTAAATTAAATCGAATATTTGTAGTATTGTATGTATTATAAAGGTGAATATAACAGTTACTTATTTATGAAATTAAGCGTTCATTTCAAAATGATTCAGTCATAAATGATGTTAGCGTTTCGACCACGACTGATACTCAGCAGCATATAGTACAGACTGACATGCGAAGTAGTATCTTTTCGTATATTTCTTTTTTCTTTTTATAATATTATCGGGAAGCACAAACACGAGAGAGCCAGGCAGGCTTTAGACCAGGAAGAGAGTGTATTGATCATATCTTCACCCTCCGACAGATTCTAGAGCATAGGAATTCCTACCGGCGTCCAACAGTCATTATATTTCTTGACCTAAAGGCAGCATTCGACTCTGTCGATCGGGAAGTTCTCTGGAGATGCTTGGCTGTAAAGGGAATTCCAAGAAAATATATTGCACTGATTAAGGCACTCTACTCGTACTCATACAGCCAGGTGAGGGCTTACGGCGAGCTGTCATCTGAACTGATGACGACCAGTGGTGTCCGTCAAGGATGCCCATTATCTCCTTTTCTATTCAACTTCATCATAGATGTGTTAATGGACTTAACCCTAAGTGACTTCAGTGACTCAGGGATTGACTTGCTACCGGGGAATAATCTCGTTGACTTGGAATATGCAGACGATATAGTCCTTCTAGGCGAAGACGCTGACGAAATGCAGAGTCTTCTAAACACCTTGAGCCGCAATCTACGAATGTTTGGCATGCGATTCGCTCCCGCCAAATGCAAAATGATGCTACAGGACTGGACTAAATCGACGCCTAGTTTAAAAATAGGAAGTGAAGTGGTAGAGCACGTTGACCGCTTCACTTATTTGGGAAGTACCATCAGCCCCAACGGGCTGATCTCCGACGAAATCTCAGAACGAATACAAGGGGCTCGTTTCGCATTTGTTAGTTTACGCCGACTCTGGCGTAGACGAGATGTTCGACTATCGACCAAAGGGCGGGTGTACTGCTCATCAGTCCGCTCCGTCCTCCTTTATTGTTGTGAGACCTGGTCACTGAGAGTGGAAGACATGAAAAGACTAGCTGGCTGTCTTTGATCATAGGTGCCTGCGTTCTATTTCCCGTGTAAAGTGGCATAATAAGGTGAGCAACATGGAGGTTAGGCGTAGAGTTCTAGGTAAACAGGGGAAATCAATCGACGAAGTCGTGAAGCTACAAAGACTGAGATGGTTAGGACATGTGTTACATATGCCAAGTCATCGCCTCCCTCGACGAGCAATGTTAGCGGATATAGGGTCAGGCTGGAAAAAAGCTAGCGGCGGTCAAACAAAAACTTGGCATCAGTCAATGAAATCCACAACAGTTGGTCTAAGCCACGTAGGAAGGTGTAGACTTCCAGGCTGGGGTCCTCGGGACGGTAAAAATCTATGGTTGGAAACAATTGGTGACATGGCTCAAAACCGTTCTCAGTGGCGCAGATGCATCCACTCCCTGTGACTTATGATCTTCAATGAAACTGTTTTGTATTTCTTTATTACTCCTTTGTCTCACACCTCTGCTCACTGTTTCTATTATGCTTTTCTTGTACTTTCTTCTCTTGCTTCGCGTGCTACACGGAATGTGGCGACTTGAACTTCCGCATATTTGTGCAAAGTTCTATGTCGAAAACAGACAGACAGAGACAGACAGATTAAAATTATTTGTTATTATTACTAATAAATACTGATGATATTTTGCTTTTACAGGTAAGAGCATGCAATCAATACATTCCGGAAAATGTCCTTCAGCATATAACTTTTTCCATCGTGTCAGCATTGTATCACTTACGGTATAATATGAATATGCTTCATCGAGATATTAAACCAGCCAATATGTTGGCTAACAAAAATGGTCAAGTAAAGGTGAGAAAGTTATATATATGTATATATAGTTTGTGCATATGCATGTGCCCTTATCACCTCTTTAAATAAGAAAGACTTTGAATGTGGCTTTTTTTCTATGAAATTATGTTAAAGAAGTGCTTTCGTTCGGTATGTAGTCTCTTCTGACAGGTCAGTGTGCCACTAAGATGTTGATTGATAAAAGGAGACTGATTCACAAACTCGATGTGTGATCCAGTGATATTGGGATTATTCATTTAGTAAACTATGGAACATCATTGCAGTCAACTTCTTATTTACCATTCGTCTGTATTATTCTTTCCTTTTTAATCAAAAGTGTGTTTCCGGTTGATTATGTACGACATCTTTGCTCTTAGTGTCGTGTAACCAGTTGGATCTATTCCTGACTATAAGTTCTTAGTGTTTTTGTAGTTGACGTATGTTCAACAGAACAGCTTTATACATAAAACTTAATAGCTCCCCACTTATCCAACAGGGGTTATATGCTTTCAACACTAAAACTAATTATATTTATCTAGAAACTGCTTAATGTCACAGTATTCATTACTTTCCAACTTCCCTCATATGTTCTTATTGTTTCTTTCATTCATAAACTCCATAATCCTACTCAAACTTAGTCATTATAGGCTGAAATCACAGTTCAGTATTATATTCAATAAAAATTCAGAATTCATGAGATAATGGATCCCATCCCAGTGGGTGAATGGTCAAACAGCTTACGTCGTAACCTTAGGATCGCGTGTTCAACCCCCATGATAGCGTCACTAGTGCTTGCTGATGAAGAGTCCCAAACTAGGACGAAAACGATTTCCAGTACTCTTCAGCTTTCAGTGGTTATCTAACTGATATGAATATACATGACCAAAGTTGAAACCAATCAAATTCTTACAAACTAACACTTGTAAATAAGACGTATTAAAATCATTTCAATTCGTAAGAATTCACAATTTAGTCATTGTCAACAAAATATGCTTACATTTTGTAAGTATATTTAGTGCACTATTATTGTCATTATTCTCTAATGTATTGTAAGATTGTTTTCTAAAAAACTTTTAATTTACTTATAATTTTTTGTATTCTTGACTAAATGCTTACTCGTTTACTACTTAGTTCATGCGATTTGTCTATGGAAGACAAAGTAATATTCATTGAAAAAGTGTTTACTAAAAATTCATTGTAATACCAAGTAACCATTCCCTGCTCAAACATTAAAAAAATTTTTCTTTTTCTTTTCTAAAGAAATATAAATCTAATAGTTTTATTAATTCCACTTTAAACAATAAAACATAAAATAATGTCCATTTTACAGTAACTATGATCAATTACAAATAGTTGGTGGGATGTATTATTAGGTAATCAATCAGATTTGCAGTGTGAAGGTACTATTCAGTCGCTTAAAGTGGAGTGCTTCCATAGGCGGCATTCGGCTCTAGGATATCTATGTGTTAAGTTCTTATGACTATCTTGGAGTCTAACACTAGTTTAGACTTGACATGTTGACATTTTTAGTGCAATATTCCGATGATCAGTTATCCTAGTGTGCTACAAGTAAACGTGAAAAAAAGGCAAAGGTTATCAGCGCATACTTTCACTATATCGATGACAACTGCTTTTCAACTGGTCTAAAGTTATAAAAAGAATGGACAACAGTGAACAACAAGAAAGTAGATGTAGGCAAAGTCCACAGAAACTTGTCACAATGTCAGAAGAGTTTTAAAATAAAGGGGTGAATTTTCATATTTCTTTCATGGCAAGTTTATTAACTTTCTTTTAGGGTTCTTATTTCAAGGTTAAAGAATAAAGCGTTGTATTTCAATTCTGAAAGGTATTGATCCTATGAAACCAAAGTTATCATCAGTATCTGTTTGTTGCACTTTGGAAAAATTCTGTCAAACACATAAAAACATGAATCTGAAAAAAAAACAAAAACGTAATTAATTACAGGATTTCATCATGAGCTGACATTGGTTAGAGAACCATTGGAAAACCTGGGAGTACTGGACAGCTGTTTCGTTCTAGTTTGGTACTCTCCATCAGTACGCACCCATCAGGGTTCGAACCCAGGATCTTCTGGTTACATGGCGAGCGTGCGTACTGCTGAGGAGCTCCAAACTAGGACGAAACAGCTGTCCAGTACTCCCAGGTTGTTTTACAATGGTTCTCTAACTAATGTTAACTCATGATAAAATCCTGTAACTAATCAACCAAATCCCTACTAATCAATACTTGAATACAAACATAATTGTCGAAAAACGATTCCACCATTTTCACTCTAATATTCTAGTATTTTATTTGTTTGTCGAAACTAATGAAGTATTCACAAGAATTATTTGTCTCATGTATGGTACTCAAATCCCAAGTTATAGGTTGTAAGTTTTATTTCACTGCATCTTTCAGGTTACTCGACTTGTTGACTAACTTATCAGAGTAGAATTCTGCATGAAAATTGAATTTGTCACACCTCTTGTATCCAGCTGCTAACCGGTCGATCATTAACTCCAATTCCGATACCACTTATTGTGGTTTTGATAGGCTGAATCTATCATGATTCAAAAAGGGATGCTTCATTGTTGAATATAAGAATACAAATTTACTACTGACTTGAAATTAACACTTGAACACAAACATGACATAGATACGATAACATGTAACTAATAATGATGAATTATTTTTGATTTTTACTTATTCCTTTTCATTCCAAGTGGAATATAGTGCTTCAAGCTTGGGCTTTGAAGTTTCAGTAGTAGGGGTTTTATTTTTACGGGGTCAAGTTGCTAGCTTCACACCAAATCTTCCCTCTTCACTGGTCTTACTACTTGCTAAGCGAGGTCTGGAGAGTATGTGTGCCGGGAATTGAACCACAGAGTACATGCGCGGTTGTCGAGCATTCTACTGCTGCACCGCCAACTCAAAAGATCAGTAATAGTTTGTTCAGGAAATCACAGAAGTGAGTTGGATTCAAATCGATCTCCTCACATGGCTTTTGTTCAAATCAGTAGCCTAACTTTTCTCCTAGCCTTATCTTCAAATTTATGATTAGTATCTTCTTTAAAACTATACTAACTGTTCCAAAACGCTGTTTATATTTCTTTCACTTCTTAGGCGCATGTTGACAGCTTTTTGTTCTATAAAACTTCCGTTCACACTTTAGTTAAATATATCTAATCACTAAATACCTATTAACCTCTTTTTATAGTTAGGCGACTTCGGTACCGCCGTTACCCTCTCGAATTGTGAATCTTTGGCTGACGTTGGATCATGGCGTTACTTAGCTCCGGAACGTGTAAGCTGTGGATCGGCTAAAAGTTGCGGAGTGAAATCTGATGTCTGGTCTTTGGGCTTAAGCATTTATGAGCTGGCTACTGGCACAAACCCATATGAACCCCCGAGGGATCCTGTAGATGCATTCAATCAGGTAAGCAGTATACACTGGTTTTTTTTATTCGTTTAGCATATTCGATAGTGAAATCGGCTGTTAGTAGTATAAATAGTTGCAGTAAAATAAAAATCCTCTCAATTTTAATTGCTACATTACAGACAGATTCTATCCACTGGGAATAAAGAATGCTTCATAAATTAATTCATTTTGCGTGCAATAGATATACGTACTAGGTACTAGAAAAACTGTTATCTTATGCTCTAATAAAAGCAAAGTGTAAATGAATTCGTCGATCGTGTTGTTTGTGATTGAGTGTTGACTTCACTTCAGAAAGGTATACATTTTTTAAAATTCTAATGTAATTAATTACATTACATTAACGAGTACACATTATAAGAATACCAACAGTACGAAAATTAATCTTTCTAGGTAGAAAAATACTCTAAAATTATTATGGTCTAGGTAAGAAAAGATACTATTGTTCTTATATACGCAAAGCTGTACCTTTAGTTTAGGATTCACTAAGCTTTCTTTTGTTGTAGACAAAAAAGATGCGGCATGCCTGAGCGAATTAGGTGAGGACTAAATACTTGCTAGAATTAATTAAGTTTGGGAAGTCAATCAAATTCTCTGGAAAAGGACATACGGCCTTTCTTGCAGCATTGGACTATGATCTTGTATCAGTGTAGAAACATTCTCTGGCGACGGTCTGTGTACTTTGTTCCTTGTGCGCATAGATGCTTAATCTTTATACAAGTTGAGAAAAATCTCCGGTGAAGAACTTTTAACTGTTACAAGAACAGAACGTGGACACTGTGGTAGAGTATAGTTCCATCACAGAGTAAATTTATTTGACAAAATTACATAGTGACACAGCACTATCTCCTGATGCCATTTCGAGCACAATTTACTGCTCATAATCATATCAGGACCTATCTTCGGTATCGGTATTAATTCACTTCTGTTGCACATTTTAGGTATAGATTCAATGAACAAAGGTTTATTAAGCAACCTCTCCCTCCACCTACCTACATTACTTTTTAGACCTTCCCCACTGTCCCACCTTATTGTGTGATTTTGTGTTAATACATGCATAATAATTGCTGAGATTTTGTTCTTATCTACTCATCCTTGATATGCTTATGAGCAGTGAAATGTGCTCATCAGTGTGTGATTTTATCAAATAAATTTACTCTACAATGGAAAGGTTAATTAAAGTTCATTGCGATGAGCATCCCACTGATTGACTAAAATGACGTTTTTAAGCATATATAAAGCCTGACCATCTACAGATTTGTGAAAATAATTTTCTTTGAAACTGAGCTGGTGATCGCTTGGAAATGTTTGTCCTTCATTTTTTCAGTCAATGAAATAGTTGGGTTAACCGTTTTCTGTTAGTATAAGCGAAGGAAGTTCTGTGATGTTGCAGTCTGAACTACAAATATTTCTTGCTCTACAAGAAATGTAGTTGTCAGGGTTTCCTTTTTAGAGCTAGGCAGTTAACAGTAGGAATCTGTTAGTTATCAATTCCATGGTACTATTCACTGGCCAGGTCTTTCAAGGGATCCATCTCTAATTCCAGAGAGAAACACTTAGAAAAAATATACTTTTCTACCTGTTTCTATAGGATGGTTTACAGGGATGAATGACAGTCATTGAATGAAAGCAGAAGGCAATGTACGATTATCATTTACGACAAATATGTCTTTCATCTATCCTTTATAGCTTTTAACACATCTACTGGTTTGACTCCTCTTTGACATGAAACGATCTACCCTTAATGATCCCAACGATAACTCCATCATAATGCTATTGTTCCGTTTGTATATCGCATCACTATAAATAAATTAGGCGTCGAATGTGCACTACAGTAAAAATTCCTTTAAGTGGTTTGTTAGCAACCGTACATTTATACTGTATGCGTTGAGCTAGTAACATGTATAGCAGACAGTTTCAATGAGGAGCGTATTAGTAAACATCGATGCCATGTTTAATGAAAAAAGCAAATTATTGCCTACAGCTAATTGGAAATTACCATGTATGGCAAACTTAGAGGCTTACCCCACAACTGGTCCCAATATTTCAACTATTGAGTAGTACCGTGGAAACGAAAAGCAGCCATATCCAGAATTACACAAAGAGGTAATCCTCTTTTCTTTACTTTCTTTAATTCATATAAACCTGGAATTATGAGACCAGCGTATCTGAAGCGTTCCTATGGCACAAAAGAAATTATTGAAATGTCGCTAACCTTTTCAAAGCACTCGTCAGTTGATTCTCAACTCATTGTTTTATCGATTCCCTATCCTGGTTTAAGTGACTTTATCTGACTAGAAAGACTTATTGGGGTTTTTTACCGATCCATCAAAGCAGTCTGCTATGGTTTGCCAAGGAGATTTATGACAACGTCACTGTCATCTTTCAGCATTTAAAGTCGATATTTCTCACTGTTATTCCGTGAATGAATTAAGCTCAGCTTGGAATTAATAAATTAACAACAGGACTCAAGGACAGTGTATTTAAAGTTGTAAAATTCTTGAAGGGCAGCAAAGATAAGGTCAACAACCAGGTTTTCAAATTTCTCTTGTTTTGCAGTCTATTGACACTGCTATGGTACTACAGACAAAGTGGAACAGCTTGTAACCCGGTTTTTGAAAAGAATAACAACTACATAGTGAAATAGGGAATTATCGGGATCGATTGAAAGCCTCCATTCGATTTCTACTAGCTTAAGGCTATCAAGATATTTAAGATTAACAAGCTGATACTATGTATGATATTCTGTGATAATAGAAATATAATCCTCAAATAATTGACATGCATCGGTCTGTGGTTCATAAAGAGCATAACCTTTCAAAGACAATCCTATTAACACAGTAACTATTTAGCATAGATATAATTCAGGGTTGGACGCCTAAAATTCGGATGGAAATTTTTTTTACTGTTGTTGTTTTCTCTTCAAAATGAATTTATTGCTGAAGATGTTGTCTTGAAGGAGGACAACCAAAGTCTTACACTTAAACGTCTCAGCTCAGATTACACAATGGCATAAAAAAAGTATCCATATGGGCTGCAAATAATATTCATCATTATACATGTGAAATCAAATTTACACCTTGCCCTTTTAATTCGCGACTTGCAGTTTAAATGGTTCGAGTTGGTGAAATTTTTGCCGTAGTTCCCTTTAGAAACAGAAATAATTCAGATCAGATTATAAATGACAAACAAACGCGTAACCGTAGAATCATAACGCAGTATACTACTGACTAATTGGCATGCGTAGTTGGACATCACTCACACCAACTAGCAGTGTTCGATAGCCAAATCAAAATGATCTAGGCACTGGACTACCGTTTCACTTGTTAGAGGCCGGTTAGTTAGCAGTGCGCCCAGTTCGACTTAGATCATCATCACTTGAAACCACTCCAATTCTCACTACCCGCTTGGTCAAGCTTGTAATAAGTTAAATTATACACGGGATACAATTACACTTTAGCTCTATCCATAACAATTTTAGACCTTCGCTTCTATCAGTGTAGCCTTTGAAAGAAGATGATCTGAACTTTCTCTTATTGTTGTTCTAGATTTCCTGATAGGATACTATTAATAAAAAAAAATCATGTGGATTAAAGGAATTTACTGTGTGATAACAAATTCCAGTGGGAAGTAGTGACCAGTAGGATGCAGCAGGTCGGGTGTGAGGACAAATACTCGCCGAAGACATTGGCTAGCGATTGCGCTATATCGTGAATTGGCAAAAGTTAGAATTCATGGGCTGGCCATTGGATCGCGTCCCAGTGGCTTAATGGTATACGAGTTCGCCTTGTAACCAGAAGGTCCTGGGTTTGAACCCCGGTGTGTGCGTACTGATGAAGAGTCTGAAACTAGGACGAAACAGCTGTCCAGTACCCCCAGTTGGTTTTCCAATGATTCTGTAACTAATGTTAACTCATGATAAAATCCTGTAACCAATCAACCAAATCCCTACAAACCAATACTTGAATATGATGATGAATTCGTTGGAGAAATTCTATTCATCAGTGAATGAATGCCTTATTGATTTTGCATATAGATAGATTTTGACTTGATTTCACTTTATTCAGGGTTAACTGAACAGCAGTATCATGTGCTATATTGTTGCTGTTGTTTAAGTCTTATGATTCACTGACACATTTTTATTAAAGGACTAGCGTGAAAACAAAGAAGAAGAAAAACAAAAGCAACAACAATACGTAACAATTACTCATTATACTTTAGTTACACAGAATTCATTTCTAATGCTTATAAAGAATTTTTAAAAATGAATATAGGATTAACAGTCATCATCATCATCATCATTAGTAAGAAATAAGAACCTGTTTTAGAGAAATACTTCTTATTTTTTAGGTTAGTACAATTAAAACTGATTGATCAATCACTCACTCACTCACTATGTGTGGTATTTGATTTCTCCAAAGTCTACTATAAATCATGCGTAGGAAGTTACGAGAGGTTATTTAATTACGTTGAGTTTATTGTATTGCATAGTTTATCATACATATGTCAGTGTATTTATTATCATGTGTACAGCATAGATGCACGTTTAAAATTTTGAAATTGTATAGAAGTCGGACACGATAAATCTGTACTTTATACTTCAACTTGCCACTAACATTCTATGTTGTTCAGTATAGAGATTTTTGTGTTTAAAGAGAATTTTTGTTCTTGTCAATACCTCTAATGTTTAATGCTTAGTAGAAAATTTGTATTGTTCGGATAACTTACTAGCTTGAAAAATATATTTAAAGAATATATTTTTGATAGATGCCTTTTTCTATTAGACCAATCAATCACATAAATATATGAGCTACAAACTGTCTACGCATGAAGAGCCCCCCTCCACTACGCGTTGCACTTTTTAAAAAATCCTTAAATTTAAGTTTGCTTTTTTTTCACCTCATGATTTGATTGCATCTCTTATGTTTTATTATTATTATTATTTGTTGTTGTTGTTTTTTGTTTTTTTCCCCTTGTAAACACAGATTGTAAATCGTGATCCTCCAAGTCTTTCTGGTGATTTACCGTATTCCAATCATGTACGAGACTTTTTAAACATGTGTCTTATTAAAGAAGTTGGTGAACGTGCAGATTACAATGATTTATTAGTATCAGATTTCATTCGATCAGTTGATGTTGAGCGTTGTATGGTTACAACTGCACAATTTTTAGCCAATTATATTTCATAAAATTTTCTTCTCCTCTTTTGGAGTAGAAAACGTAACACGAAGAAAACTGTTGATATATTTTTAACTAGTCAATTTCACTATATATATATGTCAAGGGAAGACTATTTGTAGGTATTTCTCTTTCTTTTTCTTCGAACCCCTCTTGCTGCCAACCAACCAACCAACACATATTGCCTTTTTTCAAATGTATAAACATTAGAATATTTTTATGCTTTGAAGACGACTACACATTTTTATTTTTATTCTTTTTAACATGAACAAAGAGAACAAGTGAAGTAGGCCGAATCGATTTCTCATATTTCTATAGTCCATATATATATATATATATTATATGAAAGGTTAATCCAAAGTGTTCTTCACTTTAGTTCTTCTGTCTTGCATTATGTACTTTTGTCTTTCCTTTTTTACATTCTGTGATAGTAAAGAGAAGTGGTCATTGTTTTTTTCTTTTTAAATTTAAAATTTTCTCTTTTGATATTATCTGTGTTCATAGATGATAACTAACTGAATATGCATGCCTCATCTGTGTATAATTCAGCTTACTACTTCACTACTTTTCGTTCAGTATTTATTGTGTGTTCCACTGTGGTTTTATATTTTATTTTTGTTTAAATGCATCATTTTGTAATATTTAAACTATTTTATTTTTCACCTCTTTTCTCTATTGTACATATCTTTGTGTATAACATCATCTGTTATAATAATCACTACTATATATAGTGATGATTCTCTTCAGGTTATACTGTCGAACATATAAGGTGTGTGTTGGCAGTCAACAAAATCAAATCACGTCGTCTAAAAGACTTTAGTCTTTTTTATTAGTATTATTATTATTTGTTATTATTGCCTATTCTATTTTCTATCCTATAAAATAACAGTTAAAAGAACTAGAAAGTTGATGCCCTCTTTTTTTTTTAAAAAAATTTTTGTTGTTGAATTATTCTTTGTATTTGTTTTTTACCCTTTTTATTACAGTCTGTTTCTATATCGTCTGTATGTACTATTCATCTTTTGTTATATTAAAAGTGATATTTTGTAATGAAATGTAAAATAAGGAATTGTTATATATGCCTTGTGTTTATTATTAAAATAACTTATTATAATAAAGGTTTTTTGTATTTCCCAATGAATGAAAACCAAAACGATATTGTTCTTATTGACGTGGCTCTATTTAATGCTAATAGCTTTATCAAAGTATTATTATTAAACCGGAATTTACAAAATCTCAGCATATGTATAACAGAGAGTTAAGGGGTGAGAAAATATACAAGTTAGGTCAAGTTAAAGGAGACATATTGAAAGTCGAAATAGTAATGAAGATCACTAAACCAAATAACAAAGGTAATAGTACATCTGTTGTGATATCAAAATAAAGTTTACTAACTTGATCATCGTTCGTCTGTCTGGGGTCATTTTACGTTGTCAAGTTGGTCAATTGGTAAAGATAACAAAATCAAGTGTGGATTGTTGGATTTGATCAGTGTGTAAAATTATAAAAGTAGTGTGTGTTTACATAGTGAAGTTGCTTATCACATTCGTGTTGATTTTGTCACTTCATGGGGGAGGGAGGTGTTGTAACCAGGTCAGATTCTCTTTTAGTCCATCATCCCTATTCAGTTCAGACAATTCGGATTCCACTTGGTATGAAGTGCTTCTGATATTAGACGTTCTTTGTGATTTCTGAAGTTTTTCTGGATTATTTCAATATTGTCAAAATCAATTTTGTGGCCCGATTCTATAGCGTGGAGACCTATGGCTGATGATTTTTCAAGTTTTTCTAGTTCAACTGGATTTCTCGGTGGTCGAAGAGATACTCTACGGTGTTCATTTCTTCTGATTTTGATTTCTGTGCGACGATGTTTGTCCGATGTAGATCGCATTACATTCCAAGCATTTTATTTTATAGACACAATTAGATAGAGAATCTTTAGGGATTTGGTCTTTTATATGGACATGGTTGCTTTGAAGTGTGTCTTATGTTTTGAAGAAAACTCTGATGTTGAACTGGTTGAGTACTCTTCTGATACCGTCTGAAGTCTCTGCTATATATGGAATGATGACTGTTGATGTCCATGTTTTCGGAATGCGTTTTCGGCCATACTTAATGTATGTGTTGATTTTGTTGATGAAGTTCTCTGGGTAGTTATTTTGCTTGAGAGTTTCAGTAATGTTTGATATTTCTTCTTCTTTTTCTTGATCATCTGTTATCAAAGAGTATGCTCGTCTAAGAAGACTTGAAACAACTGAAATCTTTGCGCTGATGGAGTGTGATGATTTAAAGTCTAAATATTTATTGGAGTGGGTTTTATTCCTGAATATGGATACACTAAAATGTCCGTTTTCCTTTCTCGTAACTAGGCAGTCTAGAAATGGTAGTTCACCGATGTCTGATTTTGCTTCCGAAGTGAACTGGATTTCGGCAGACACACAGTTTATTTTCTCCAGGAATGAAGTGTGTAGATCTCGTTTTAGTACTACAAAAGTATCATCCACATATCTTAACCATATTTCAGGAGTGAGTATGCTTGAAAAGATGTTATTTTCGAATTTACTCATGAAAAGGTCAGCGACTATCGAGGAGACTGGTGAACCCACAGCAACACCATCAAAATGACATTAGGAAAATATTCAACAAAAAGATAGTATTTTGTAGGGAAGGAGACTTGTTTGTTTGAGTATGCTTATTTCAATGAATGTATAAGTTAGTTTCGGTATGTATATAGGTATATCTCCCTCCAACAGGCTCACCTTTCTTACTACTACCGATGATCTAGTTCGACTTTTTTGACTCTTTTCGCTCAAACAATAATAAGAATCAAGAAAAAAGGTAACTAGTTGCCTTTATTTTGTTTTTAAAAATATCTCTTCCTTGCTTATGCTCATCAAAATGTTTGTAGACGATTATTCCCGTTAATAAATTCGATCGAATATATATATATATATATTTCTACAGAGATATTTGTTCAATAGGGGCAAAATACAAAATTAATTCCTATTTTTCTTAATTTAATTTAGATTTTAAAGTGGTAAACACACGGGTCAAACCGGTGAAATACTTAACTTAATATTCATTTAGACTTTATGTTGTCTTCGTATTGATTATGGTAGATTTGAGTATCAAGTGTGAACAAGTAAACAGTAAGCGTAAGTCGCACTGGTATCCACTGCCCCTACCGGGTTGAGAAATGGAGAACGGAAATGAATCGTTAGTAAGAAAACATAACTCTTTGTAACCCTAGAGCATTCAGCTTTACTTCAGAATCCCTTGACAGTTCTACACAGAATTCGCCCAAGCCTTTTAGATGGGAGGGAGATAAAGACATATGTACACAGGTGAAGGATTGGTGATGTATCTGGAGACACTGCGCTCAGCCTTCGTCTTTGCAATTACCATACTAACTGCCCTACTTCTTTCTTAAATAATATCACTGTTATTCAGTTCTTTCTTGTGCGAGCTTCTTGTACATTTTCTCATTATCACACCTACTAACTTCGCGCAATTTCATTACTCTATTTCGAACCCTGATTGGAAATGATTTTCACCGTATTCACATTTTCGTGCCACATGTTGACATTGTAGCTGATAAATTCATTGTAAAGAAGGACAGTGTCTTAGTGAAAACACTTTTTGTTTCCTTAATATGTAAATTTAATTGTTGAGCTCAATTAAAAAAGTGATGTCAAACACTGTGTCTTTCAAATCTCATACTAATGATTGCCAATAATGATCACTGTTCCAAACAATTTTTCCATACCGAACGGAATTTTAAGTATTTTCATTTGGCAACAAATTTACTGCTTTAACAAATTAAATCAAAAGACTTAAACATGAAACCTGCAGCTTTTGCAATGTAATTTAGAGATTTAGGCTTAGGTTCGTTGCTTGTTGCAATGAAGATGCGTACAGTTGCAATCCGACCGGCACATGCTTTGCTTTTCCTGAATCTAACTTGTTCCGGGCTGGCGTAGTTCTGCGTCCAGTGCATCTTCTATTCTCTCCAGGATGACGCGACTTAGTATTTTACCTGGTGTGGGCAAGAGAATTATTCCACGTTAGTTATTGCTGAGGCAAATCTAGCTCGCTCTTCCCTGGCAATTTGAAAAGGTAGCTAGTCTTTCTTCCAGTCGGTGGACACCTTTCCTATTCTCCAAATCTTGTGATAATAGTGTGAGCACATCTGCCGCAGTCTCTGGGTCCGTTTTCAGTGCTCCGTGGGGGAGTGAAGGAATCTCGTCTGGCCCTGCTGCCTTCTCTGGCTGGCCTCCGGTAGCTTGATTAAATTGAAGATTTCTCCTCTTCTTCGATGACTGATGTCCACTGGTATGTAGTTCTCTGTGTGTTATTGGTGTTAATGGTATTTCTCGGCGATTTTCAGGTGATGGTCGATTCAAGAGTCATTTGAAGTGATCAATACATTGTTTCATTTGTTTCTCTTCGGTAATCAGGTTCCCTTGAAAATCTTTTATTGGTTTCATCATCTGGGTTGATCTCTTCTTGTATCGAGACTTGTTTGTCTGTGGCTTGGTTGCCTCACTTACCAGACAGTGTGTTGCAGACTTGTTTCTTGTCTTTATCAGCACTCTTCTTCACTTCTTTACTCAGTGCAGTGTACATTGAACTCAGCTTCTCCTTTTGATGCCCATCTCTGCATTGACTCATCTTCCTTTTCACCATCCTCTTCTACCCTCCTCGATTAGCTTCCTCGTACTTGTTGAGATAATTTCCTTGTTTTGCATCTTTTTTCTTCTAAAAACGGACGGACACGTATCCTTGAACATCAAATTCAGAGAGTTAGTTACAATGCACTTTCACACAGGTTTCCTCATAGATAACATTTAGTGTTTCCGACTTTGCACTGTTTTGTGGTGAAGATGTCTTTTGTAGTTTTGTCCTTCAGTTTCTGAGTGTTGAACTTGAATTGTGGCCTGTTTCCAGTTGTTCTAAAGGGTTTAACCTTCACCTTGAAGTAGATGATGGTCTGAGCCCGCCCACATCTGCT